GTGGGTGCTCCTCCCCCTGGAGGTGTTCAAGTTAACCATGCATTGTGATGCGGTAGAGATAATGTTTTGAAGATTGTCTTTATGCTCCTTATACTTTTATTTCAGAATTAGCAGGGCTTGTGCTGGTGAGTTTTTCCTCTACTCAGGTTTTACTGATTAGTTTTATTATCTTCTTTTCACAGTCGAAACTTATCCTCATAAAAGAGCAGTGAGAGCTTTTAGGGTTGGAAGAAATAGGTAGTTCATGATAGTGTCAGGAATGGTTAATGGAAACAGAAGAATCAGCATTACTTCCTTCCTGTTGGGCTTCAGGCACAGTATGTTTATTATACTCTAGTGAGAATAAAATTCATTGTGGCATCAAAAAATACAGAAAAGCACCATATTCCTAATTCAATGGAAAGACAACAAGGCATCATGAGCCTTGTCCATGAAACACTGCATCTTGGTGTTACAACTCTCCAACATTCAGTGTAAAAACTGGTCCCACGATTCTGGGAGCAGGAGAGAAACATTCCTCCCTTTGTATATAACTGCAAAAAAATGTTGTACAGAATTGTCCATTGATGGCTTTGAGACTGAAAGGGGAGCAGTTGCTCTGTTTTGTGTAACTGAATAACATCAGCTGTGTTTGTTGCAAGTTCTGCAACTTGTACTGGCTTTATTTTAAACTGTGAGTTATTTTTAAGGTGGACTTCCATTGCTTGCCTATTAAGGGCAGTTTCAGTTTATTCAAATTTCAGGTTACAGCTGCACAGTATGTTCGATGCAAACTCAAACTACATATAAATATGTTCTCTGTTAATTTAAGACTTTTGAGCCTGTTTACTATAGAAAAAGCTGTTCTGTGAGCCCATATACTGCACTAATTTGAGTGAAACTAGCTAATTATAAGTTGATGTCATATGGCTAAAAAAATACATGTTTATTCCTTCCATATTTCTTGATGCTGACTTTCTCAACCACATTTGCAGAACACACACATAACGTGTTTTCTGGGCCTAGGGCCTCACTGGATAAAGTTACGGTCTTTATTCTGCAGTTTGTAATTACGAAGTTGAACTTCATGCAAAATCCTTGGGACCTTGTGGATACTAGCAGGCTGTTTGTGCTGCCCCTAAGTTATCTTTAACTGAATAATAGCAGAATTGTATTTTTGCCTGAAAAAGAAATAAAGGAGGCACACCGACTATTGTAAATCAGTGAGTAGATTGCAGGGAATGTGCCGTGGTTCGTTGTCTACCCGAGTTGGAAATAAAAATGCAGGACAGATGAATGTTCTAAGCTGATTTGGAGAAATCATGGATCCTGTCTGAAAAAAGCAACTTGCTTGTTTTTCTGTGGACTATCCATTATAATAGTTGTTCAGTTGCTGACAGACAGCTGTCTCCAGCCAAGTGAAGGCAAATTCGGTGACCTGTTACTACTTATAGTTCAGCAGCACCTAAATTACGTACCGTTGTGCTATTTTATTGCAAAAATTACAATGAAGAAATTCACTCTTGCCTCAAGAGTTTGTAGTCCTGAAGAAAAACTCTTTAACGCTTGTGTAAAAGCAGTGCACAGCAGGTCCCTGCCCATTACAAAGCCCCAACGCGCTTGTTACTCTGAAAGAGCCTGTCCCATGTGTGCTTTGTGTCCCACAACGTTTCACTCATGTAAGGACAATCTAGAAAGTCACTCTGTTTTCTGTTATTTCCTCAGTGTACAGTATCAAGCTTTTTTCTTTGGAAAGAGCTCAAAAGTGTATAGAGTTGATGTGAAAGACAAACTGAAATTTCCTGCAGATGCTCATTTTCAAACCCACAGTTAGAGATGGCATCTCCTCTGTGCAGCATGTCCCTTGAGTCATAAATAACACTTTCAGCAAATAATGACATAGTTTATCTAAGTCACTCTCTATGTATCTGTCTTGTTCTAGAGCCCTACTAACAGCTGTAAGTAATATGCACTAATCTGAGGCTAAATCATGTATGCCTTAATAAGAGACTAAAAAAAAAGCACAAGAGAAAATAAATAAGCAAACCCAAGTGATCTGTTAGAAAAGAACCCACATGTGGGGGCAGAATGTAGCAGTCTGCCTCTGTGGAACATCCCACATTTTGATTTTTCCAGCTGTTTGCAGACCACCACTATTTTCTGTGCTTCTCCTGATAACATAAGTTGCAGAAGAGGTGGCTGGAGTGAACTGTTTCAGGAGTAAGATTACAGAAGACATTAGCACATCTGCAGACTGCTCATATAATCCACTTTAATGCTGTGATAAGAAACCAGTGTAAATTGTAAACAGGCTGGGCGTTGAGAAGAAATATAGTAGTACAAGTGCCTCAGGACTCCCTGTCCATTGGTATTCTTATAAAAGCTTTTATAACATGCAAAGAAACAACCATTACATTGTGAGAAAACCGCAATATTCTGAATGGCAGCTTAACAGCAGGAAACGTTTGCACTTTGGGTAGAAGAGGACTGTGTGGAAGGATTGGGGTGTTTTTTGGAAGAGGATGCCTTTAAAGGTGAAACGTTTGGGAGAAAGGTATTACTGGTTCACCTGCATCAGGCCCTGTACTTGTGAACTGCCTGGAATCCAGCATGAAGTCTCAGATAAAGTGGACTAAGTCTCTTTTTCGATGGCTTATCACAGTCAACATGTTGAAAACAATATTCCAGTAACTTCAGATGCCAGTGAGACTATGGAATAATAGCTTTTCTGAGGAACTGAACTACTTTTCTTACTTAAGAAGCCCTTGTAGGTTTCATGCTGATTTCCAAAAATTAAGCTCCAAGTGCTGAATTCATAAAGTCAAAGATAAGTCTGGAAAATGTTGTCACAAGTAGGACAACTGTTTGTATTAGGTTTTTGTGTGATGTATCAAATAATAGTAGTGAAAGGACACAGTATCTTCTGACTCTCTTGAAAAAGCTGTTCATCTTTACAGCTCTGTTGAAAGGTTTGCACACTACGTGCAGTCCAAGCTCAGTTTTCCCTGACTTGATTGGCAAATGTCTTTGTTTCTTAAAGAACATGGCCTTATAAATGAAAATGGACATAGGTGTACAATATCAAATTGTAAAAAAGTTTAACTGTTGCTTGGGAGCACTTCCACACGTTTTACAATGAGAGATATCTGAAACAGTCAGATTTCAATGAAGAAATCTTGATCAAGAGTTCACAGATCTCATTTTCTTTGGTGGCTTTATTAGGTTGCGAACATATGAATTGGGAAATATCACTGAATATCACAGAATATTGAAATAGTTTTAAGGTCCACATGTGCCCAAAAAGAGTTTTCTATGAGAGAGGTTGTGCATTGGAGCAAGAAGTTCCAGGGCGGTGTTTCTTGAGAGATGTGTGGGATATTGATTGAGAATTACGGACCCTGACGCTCTCTGTCACAGGAATTTGAGTCAATACCCAGACTTTTCTGTAATTCACTGGCTTTGCAGAAAATCAGCTTTATACTATACCTGAAAATTAATGAGTCTTCCTATAATTAATCATTGTTTCTACTTTATTAAGAATGTATTTAAAAATAACAGACTATTATTTTAAAAGCAGTATTACTTGTCATTCTCTACAAGGAAAAACATTGCATAAATAATTTCTGAGAAAAAAATAAATATGTTATTCACTCTCTGAAACAATACCTTTTCTCTATAGGTTCTGGTCCCACATAAAATAATTGCAAAATCTATCAACATTGCAAACTTCCATAGTTTATATGATTTCAGCATAAACTCTACATAGAAAATAAGAACAGTGAGGAACCGCTTCATCCCAAACTGTGTTCATCTGATTCTAGGCTTAGCACTTCTACAGGATATATACAGCACGTGGTGATTCACTTTCTAATAATATTCTTTAATGTAAAAACACAAACATTAGTCTGAATGTTGAGAAGCTAAGTAAAGGGAAGTTGCCGTCAAACTAAAGACTTACCAAAGCTGCACATACCAAAGACTTTTCTAGAAGAATTCATGACACTAAAATGAGCAGAGGCTCGCTTTTAATGCAGAACCAGCACCTCACTCCCAGAACTTGTCTTGCACAGTCTTAGCACTACAAAGCGTGTGGCAGAAAATCCAAACTCTGCAGAATAGAAAACGTAAATTTAGACATCTAAGCTGATATTAAAGTCAATTGTGTTCTAGAAAATAAGGAATAATCAGTGTCTTTTATATTAAGTTATGCACATCATTAGCTGTTTACAAGACAAAGTGAGGTTATCTGGTTTGACGGGAGCATCCATTTCATAAATCTGCTCCACTTAGAATATGTTTAATTGTCCCTAAAACATATATGGTTTTAATTGTCAAATCTCAAGTTTTGAATCGATTGATCATACAGGCTTTTAATTAAAAGTATGAAATAGTTTTGTCACACTTTTTTTTTTTTTTTGTGAGAAGATGAGTGTCGTATTTTTATTTTTGTGCTTTAGAGGAAAGAACTGGGGCATGAGGACATCTGACAGGCTGTTAATTTCCCAACAATTTGACTTCAGTCACCATATCTGTTGAAATCCTGCTATCAAACTTACTACAACTCATTCAGAGCGTGATAACTCTCCTGGTGCTTCCCTTATGGCATGCTTGTCCTGCATTGTGGCACTTACAAAACTAGGAAAGAGATCTCAGTGTGGTTTTTTTTTCACATAGAGTAGAATGACTTCTAACAAAGTGTGATTTTCACCGTAACAGCTTCACTTTCCTCTGCCTTCCTACTGGTACAAGCTACGTGACCTCACAGGAGTCTCCAAGGTATCCCTCTCCTCTCAGACTGAATTTAGGTGTTGCTCCCTCCAGCTTGATTTATCTCAATCTCTTATCAGACCATAACTGCTATAATCTGGTAAAGTTTTGACTATGTGAGCCTTTGACCCAGCTTTAGCAGAAGGAATTGGAACCTACTGCAGTCAGAACGTCATGCTGTGGCCTGTGAGTGCCATCTGATGTTGTGTAAAAATATCCAGAGCTGTTAGGCTGTTATCACTCAGAGACACCTTCTAATAAGCGTTTTCTAACTCGTGCTGGTTAGATTTGCTGCTCCTGGCTCTGGAGAGACGAGGCTTCTTGTTCTTCTGAGGCCTGACAGTGTCCTTCCCGAAGTCCTTCAGCTCGGACTGGTTGTGGTAGCGGGTGTAGCGCTTGCATTTGCAGGACGTGACCGCTCGGAATTTGTAAGTCCGAGTCTCTTCCTCAGGACAAGCCATCTGGATGCGCTGCGTGCGGGTGTGAGCAGGGATGCAGCGATAATCCATGGCGTTCTGACGCCACCACTTCCCCCTGCCAATGGAGTTGGGAAGGAGGTGTGATGGGACACACTGGCCAGAGCACACCAGTTCCTTGACAGGCTTGATGCTGCGGCAAAGGCCCTCCGTGACGTAGCGGGTGGTTCGCATTTCTCTGCAGCTGAAGTCAGAAGCATCTGCAAACAAGAAACACATTAATTACTGCCTATTTTCTTCCTTATACTTGAAAAAGCATTTTTTTTGTTTCTGTAGCAGATACCTTGCTCTGAGCTAGATACGAGCTGGACATCCTGAGTGGCAGATTTGGAGAAGAGTGTCTCCAAAGACTCACTCGTGCAACTTCTGAATATTTGGCTACTCTAGTTATGAGACCCTTCAATGACAATGTACAAATTGATTAATAAAATCCTTCTCTTGCCACTAGGTAAATGCCACATCAGGGCTGTGCAGGTGGCAGTGGAGCTTCTGAAGTGCAGCCCCAGCAGCAGTGGTTACTTCATGGGACATTTTGATGGGATTCTCCTGGCTTCATTTGCCTTGGGCAAAACCTTCCCCCATTGCTGCAGAGGTTGACTCCAGATTTAAATTCTTTTGCAACAAATAAAGTGTTCCTTAAGTGATTTTTACCTAGCCTAATGTGCTCCAGGTTAGGGAAGTCAGCAGGTAACAACAGTGCTAAGGAATTCCAACTCTTCAGGCATTAGATTCTCCAATCTTAACTGCTCTCAATGATAATCCCACATGATTTCCTTCAGCTAGAGGCATCTTGTGGCTGATCAGGAATCTTACAGTGGTTTTCCTTCCCCCCTTTTCCTCAATGGATAGCTATAGACACATGAAACATTTGGAAATACAAGACTTTTAGCATTTTTTAGGATTTAGAAAAACTTTCCAGTTGTAGGTGCAGACTGTTTCTGAAGGCATCTCTTTTGCCAAGTGACACGCTTGCGTAATTGACTTGTTTGGAAGGTGCAGAATTTGATTTTTGAAGGTGTTTATCAAGGAACTTCATCTAGCTAAACACATGTTAATGTTATTCCCTTAGTCATAAGTAGTTTTGACTCGGGAATGCTACTTGTGGAAATCCCCAAAGGTCAGCTCACAAAAAGAAGGCTGTGTCTGGTAGGCCCATTCTCCTGGCTGTGCACAAGGTGGTTCTCTCCTCAGTACATCAAAAGAAAATTCTCACCCTGAGTCATTAGTGGTAGAACAATTTTTGTACAGACATTTTAATTTTTGTTTTCCCTGTGAAGTACAGAAACTTGATTTTTCATGCTCACCTTTACATTTACGAAAGTACAGCTAGCAAGGTTTTATTTTTAAAAAGTTTTAAGGACTGCATTAATGAAATGAAACAATCCTTGTCATAAAGCTGTGACAAAAATGATAACTGAACTGCATGTGCACTTAGTCTAATCCTCCCAAGTTTCCTAAGCATTTAAGAAAACAATGTTTGTCTATGTAAAAACTAATGCTTTGAGTCAGGTGTATTATACAACTATAGCACATAGGCAGATACAATTAAATATACAGGCATTTGCCTCAGCTGTATAGGTTTATTTTCTGTGCATGTATGTCCTGTCCTGTATTTGTACAGATTCCACATACTGCAAAATTATTCATGGTCTGGTGCAATGTCAGGTGTCCCGGGAAGGTCTGGCCACTTCGGATCATCATTTTGATTCCTTGTGTTAAAGATTTTAAAATAACTATGCAAGACCATTGCGTATCTTGAGTAACTGTCCAGTCTCCTTCACTCTCTTAAGTAAATGTCCTTTCCTCTTAAAAAAATACACACACACAAATAGGACATATTCCCCCCAGCTGATGTCAGAGTAGTAAGAAGATAAAAATTGGAAGTTTTCAGATGTAGTAACAAAACCAACCTGCCTTGACCTGGTCGTTGGTGGGGCTGCCTGTGAGAAGCAGAGTGCTGCCCCATTTAGGGATTTATAAAGTCACACTCTCAAAAACATTACTTCTTTTTCTTTTTTTTTATTTTAAAATATTGTTAATGCTATGGTTTTAAACATCTTAACTGACAGCTGCAGCAGAAAAACACAATTCCCTTCCAGTAGTCCCCAGAAAAAGAAAGCTAGTTCAGATCTGCAAAGCAGAGTAGGGGAAACTAAGTTTGACTTGTTGCTATGTGCATTTGGTAGGCACGTGTGTCACTCTGGAGGACCAAGTTCACCCTGTTTGTCAGTAGAACATTTCTTTAAAACTGCCTTTCTCTGTTTAGTTCTTACTCCCCATCTTTCATCTCTCCTCACAAAGCTTGGGTTTTGCCTCATTGCTGATGTTAGACATTTGGCCAAATGCAGTGACAGTATGAAGGATGTCAGCGCTGTTAAAGTAGCCAAACTCATTCCAAGATTGCACACCTCTGCAAAATAGAGTCCCCTCCAGTTATTTGGGGCATAAATTCCCCTTTGGAGTGCTTTAACACCTTTCATAACATCTTTTTTGGCTGCTGGAATCTGGCTGAAAAATCTGGCTGTTGGCAAAGGACAGCGAGCAGCACACTTCTCTATTCTAGCTGAATGCTACTTCTGTGTGCCATTTTTGCTGTATGACCTTAGACCCTTTCTGAATATTAAGAATTTATATTATTATCTCCACTGCGAACCCATTGCCCCATCGTGACACCAAAGAGAGAAAGACTTGTGATACTTCCTCACAGCGCTTGCAAAGAAGCACAAAACACAAGAGAAATTTAAGCAGTATCTTCTACAGGCTTTATGATTTGGAGTTGTATCTGCAGAGAGCAGCTGGGCAGGACTGGAGCACATACCCCAGTAGCCAAGGATTGCTCAACAGATAGACCACATTTTTCATCAGTAAACTCGAGTACATCCCTTCTAAAATTTACACTGACACTTCTTCAACAGTAGATGTAACTCCCTATCACTTACAGCATTAGGTCCACACCTAAAGGTTTTAATAAACAAACACATATGAAAACAAGTATTCTTTTACAAATTGTCTGTTAGGGTCCAGAACAGTAATAATAATGTTATTTTTTCTTACCATTATGTTCTGGAGCTTGTTGTATGTGTCTTCCTCCATGCTTTGCCTGGTTCATTGTGTTGTTGTCGCTGAAAGTCTGCTCCATCGGAGTTTCTGTATTTTCAGTGATCTCAGGAATTATTTCTGTAGCGTCATTTTTAAACATTTGCCACCCTTCCACAGATTGAAATGCAATTTGTATTAGGAGACAGGCAGAGCACACAGCCCAAGAGATCTGCATGGTGGCAGCTCACAGATTAGCTTTTCAGCACCCTGACAGTCTCAGATCCCAGGCAAAGGCACATTATTCCCCTTTTTTAAATCCTTTTTAGAACCAAGCCAGCCAATGACTATACAAAGTGGGAAGGGCCAGACAACAACTCATTCATCTCAGCTTTTGTCACTCTGAAATAAAATGGGTGTGTGGGGGTGGTTTAGTGACAATATTCTACAACTTCTATGTAAAAACCTGTCATATGTGCTTCATTTTTGAGCCTGACAACAATGGTGATTGACAAGACCAGGGTGAATTGCAACCTGACAAGTCTTTCTGCAGTTTTTTTTTCTAACAATGGTATAAGTAAAACCTGCTTCTGTCTCCATATTTGAATCTTTGGCTATTGTCGTTTCCAAAGGTTTTTCAGGCTTCTTATTTTTACTGTTGTTCTTGTTTTCCGCCTCCACCCCCGGTATAAAGTAAGCAAATCTAGAAACTGTAGCTCAGTAGTTGTGCTTTACAGTCTCTGCAGGCAAATGATTGGGGGGAGGTAGCTTTTTTTTTTCCTTTACAAAACAAGGAGCTCTACATTTTGTTTCACAAATGTGCTGAAAGAAACAGGAAAGAGCTTCTTTTCAAAATGACAAGTTGTTTTGTTTATTTCTCTTGAAAAACTAGGCTACTCGGAATATGCTAGTTAGAGTAAACAGCCAGGATGTTGTACATCATGCTTTTGATGTGCTCTTTCTCTCATTTTTATCACTGAAAAAAAAATAAAAGAAAAAGGAAAGGGAAAAAAAAAAGAAAAGCATTTGTATTTGCTTTAAATTCATTGCATAGTACTACTTTGCTGACATTCTGCACAAGTGTTGAATATAGGACAATTGCTTATTTTGAACACAGGAGCACGATCAGACTGATTTCCACTCATGATGCAACCAACAAAAAAAGAGAATTGCTGACCTTATGTCTAGGGAACATGTGCCTGGGATGTATTCATGTGTCATGTTTTAAAATCTCATCTATGGTATTCTTCTTCCTTGCAAAAATAAGATGATAGTGGTGATAGTTGCATCATTTCTTTGTCTCAAGACCAGAAACACTTTCAAGTTACTTGCAAATGATGCCAGGCTAAATACATTAATTGAAAAGCATCTCAGCTTTTAGTAAGGTTAAATATACATTGACCTCACTGTAGCTACTGAAAGCAAAATATTTCCTTAAAGCAGTAGAGGGACACCTGTGTATGTTACTGCAATGTTTGTCGCATAGATCTTCATGAAAATACTTCATGTAAAAGAGATTCCAAAGTGATTCACTGTCTGACTTTTCCCTACTACTGTAAGACTCATTACCTAAGGTTTGCACTCCATTCTGACAATTGCCCTGACCTGCCACAGAAAACAGGTGCCACATAATTTAAAGTGGAGGTGTATTCTCCCTTGGTGTAACCTTTATGATAAATAAGAGACTTAACAGCAATAACCTGAGGATGTTTCACCTCTTCAGCCTCACACACACGTACGCAGAGACACACACAGCAGATGCCCCAGCGGTACCAAATTTGATGAGCTTTAGCATACCAGCTCTGTACAAAATCCCTCCCTAAAATAATAGCATCTGAAATATATTGTGACTTGCTTTGTCTCCTACCCTTTCTCTCTGCTCAAAATTATATAGAGATTTGCATTCTTAGAAGAGTCCTCCTTTCTAAATATTCCAAAGACTCTCTAAAAGCACTTGTGCATTGTGTCACATAAAACTGTGTGCCTTTACGGTCTGTTCCCCTTCCTCCTTTCCTCCAGCCCACATCTCATCCATCCTCCCATCTCAGAAATTACTCTATTTTTATGGAGGGATGCAGCGTACTATTTGCTTTTTACAAGTTTTTTGTTCCCCTCCACAGCCAGTCTTTCTTTAATACAGACTCTTGTCACGTAATTTGCTTCAGATGAACTGATTCCTTTTTAATCATCAGCAGCAGCAGCACCGATTACCTTTCATTAATAACTGCCTCCTTTACTCAAAGCATTTAATGATGGTCTCACAAATACAGGAAACCCAAACACTCAGTCATTGCACCTGTTTTTCCAAGCATGATTTTTCTCACTTATGAGTAAGTCTATTTTTGGCTTAGAGCTACAGGTGAGAACTATTCAACAGCAAGGGATACACAGCTTCACGGGGGCACCACGTGATTGCCCACCAAATAAAATGAATTCTAAAGAAAAGACAGACACAGCTTGGAAAGCTGATTTCAAGCTCTGCTTTCAGGCCATATAATACAGCTATTTTTTCTTTTCTTTGGAAATACTGATGTGATCTTCTGATGGCCCCCAAAGGAATAAAATGGTGTGGGGTGTTGTTTTGGTTTGTTGTTGAGGGTTTTTTTCTGTTTGTTTGTTTGTTTGGGTTTTTTGTTTTGTTTTGTTTTAAAATTGAACAAGTCAGGAAGGATGACCAGGAACTAAACAAAGATTTTTAACCTGCTATTATTTATGTCAGATAGGAATACCACCTTGTGGTGGTAATTGCCAATAGTGACCTTGTCCCAGGTGAGATCACAATTTGGGGCACAATGGAGTACAGCTGAAAAACAGAAGAGCAAAAGAAAATGTAGTACTGGTAATCACTGAACCATTGCTACCTATTCACTGCCCTATTTAAGTGCCTTCAGTTGTATGTATCTATCAAAGCTCAGTTTCTGTTCATTTCTCTTCATGTAATTTTTTTTCTGCATAGAGAGTATTTCCAAAAGCACCAGTCAGGGGAGGCCTATTGTGGAAAACCACATTTACAGTAATCAGTTGGCACGTAAAACATAAGTATCTTCTTGATGTAGCTTCTCTGAGTACTGAACCAATCCCCTCTATTAACTGTCACTGGGAGAAATAATAACAAAAAAAATCTATGAAAGTAAAAATCAAAAGCTATATTTAGCTTCTGGCTTAAAACTTTTTGCCCACAAGCTAGGGGGACAGCCTAATAGAGGCAAGAAAAGAATCCCATAGACATTCAGATTCCTTAAATACAAAACTATTCTTCCACGACCAGTAGCTGCTTGCCTGCTCACAGTACTTTCTGCAACAAAGCAGACATGGTCTGGGCTGCAGCTCCCTGCAAACAATTGATTTTTGCACTCTTAATGAAGCACAGGGTAAAAACAGAAAGGACATATCAAGGATGTTTTCAGAATGAACCGTCCCCCACCGGGATGGAAGTGGGTTTGGATCCTTTATATTCCAAACTGGGATGCTCCTTTCTGAGCCACACTACGGAGGGCACAAGGAGCATCACATCCGTAGCCTGAATAGGTTGCTGCTGCTTTCAGGACTCAGATGTCTATCTGTGCTGATGTGCTTGCGTTCCAACACCATACTACGAAGGCATGTGCTTATAAACCAGCTTCTGAAATCAGTCCTGTTGCTTGTAACCTCTGGTGCTCACTGTGCTCCCCCTCTGCCCACACCAGGGTTCTCAGCCTTCCAAGATACACATGTAGAACTCAGGCTTATGTGGGACAATGGCTTGGGATTTGCACACTGCCCAGGAATTCAGGTTCTGACACGTTCAGGAAGATCATGTTTGCTTCTCAATGTCGTTTTTCTAAGATGCTCCTAAGCCAACCCTTGCCCAAGCAACTTTTAAGTGTCTCACACTGATTTTGCTTAGTCACATACTCCTGTGTATCAGTCTGGATGCTGCGTTGTGATCTCCTCCAAGTAGCCAAGAGTAAATGGAATCTGAGTATTCTCCCACCAGAGACCAGCAAATGCACTGATAAATCAAAAAGCTTGCCTTTTTCAGTGATAAGACATGAGATTCACTGAGTAACAGCATCGCTCAGGGAGGGAACGATGATTATCTGTCTGGTGAAGAATAACGAGCCTACAGCTCCATCTGGTGAGCCAGCGGCCTTGACACACTGCAATTAAACACCACGCTTAATTGTATTACACAATCTGCATTTCCAGGGTTTCTTTTCAGAATAGACGAATTGAACAGGACACCAATTCTCACAAACAAACCCTTAGAAGATGCCTCTCAGGCCTGTTCTATTTTCGGTTGTACTCATTGGCAAAGCCCAGAAAGTAATTTTAGAAGAAACCTCTGTGCTATACTGAGTGAGATGCCGTTAGATAATCCCTCTGTGCCAAAAACATTAAGCTAGCAAAACTAATTTAAAAAAAGTTCTAGCATCAGAAGTTTAACTAGTTGTGGACAACAGAAGAGAGCTCAATGAAAATATTTAAATTACAAAAACAAACATTGCAAGTATCCTTTCTGCTGTTCTCCTTTGCTCAGCAGGAGGAAGATATATTTGACACAAATTTGTTTTTCAACTCAGAGAGTGTGTAGCATTCTTACACACAGTGCCTTTCATCTTCAGAGCCTTTATGAAAATTAATTAATTATCACATCACCAAGAGAAGTAAGCCAGGCATATTCATATTGTAGGACAAAAACATGTTGAACAGGAACAGTGGCTCCATGTCCAAAAATGGAATTACAATGCAACATATTGTGGCTGCTAGTCCTGCATTCAGATGCTCTTAAGTTTGAAATAACTTCATGAAATGTTCACTTTCCAGCAGTGACATACTGCTCTTGAAGTATTTTCTGGCAGTACCTATGGCTCAGAGTGGCATGCTAGATACAACACTTGTTAGCATTGTAGTCTCAGCTGTGTAGTCCCTGCACTCAGAAAATGTTATTTTTGCTTTGAATTTTAATTTTTAGTTACAAACTTCTCTCCTGTGCTTATGCAATAGTTGAGAAAAATCAAGTTCAGCATGAGTAGAAGGTGAATTTAGTTTTACATATATCATCATTTTACCTACCTGGACTTTCTTCTTTGTTCTTTGCAATAAAATGCTAATATCTTCTCACTTCTACTCTTCCCCTTTTCTCCGACTTCACTAACTCTTATGTACAAAAACCCCAAGCTATTGCTTTTTCTTTCATTGTGCTGATCTTCCATGTGCTGGATTTGACAAGGTAGACAGCTTTGTTCTGTGATAGATGCATGTTTTACAGAGAACCCATCCCTCCTCCAGAGTGCTATCTACACAAAAAGTATTGCACTGCTATTCAGGATAAACATAGTAGTAGAAATCCAGATCACACTGCGTAGTGTTGCTGTTTGCAACAAAGAGTTGTTTAAAAAAACACCTTCCCCAATGAGCATGCTTGTAGAGAACATCTCACAGCAAAGGGCAGTTGTGTGGTAATTTCAGAAGAATAAAAAGGTATATTGCTTCCAATACTTTCTCAGTTTTACATTAAGTGGAAAGAAAGCTCTCAGTCCTGTTTTTATACAATCTTTCCTTGTGCAATCAGAAAGAAATTTAGAAGTATACAGCATATCATTATGGATTAGACGCATGTAAGTTCTCGGCCAGCTAAAATACACAGAGGAATTTCCAACATAACTGTACTTAACAGCAAGATAAGACTAAAAGAGGAAGGGTATGATCCATTAATGGAGCAGTGATCTGACATTCTAACTATTTTTAGCCAACTCTAAAAGCAGAGCTAGAAATGGTTTCATTACTGAGTCACCTATCAGTAACTTAGAATATACTGTCTTAGAGCTTCATGTTTAAAAACAATTTGTAGCAGTCTTTTTTATTCCTCTCCACCCTCATATGACAAAATGTTAAATCAGTTTTGTTATACAGAGATAAATAGGCCAAAGTACCACTGAAGTTACTACTAGAAGTGAGCAGTGTCCTATTAATTAAAAGAATGTCTTGAATATAAGAACATATTCCTGTATGTTGCAATTTCTCAGCATTTCTTGATACTGACAAATACAAAAAGCCACTGTAGTAGAAAAGGTAAGGCCAGTATTCCTATTCCCCAGGCTACGTAGCATGACATTAGTAACTAGGAATTTTGCAGAAGCAATTCATTTAATACTGATGGGAGAAGGGAAACAGGCATGTAATTAGCCAATGAAATTGACTACTCCTCATTATTACTGAACTATCCTGACTCAAAGCAAGCACTAAAAACTGTCTGACTACAGGGAGATGCAAGGAAACACTAATGTAGAGAGTTCCCCAACTGTCCCTTTAAAGAAAGAGCACAAAAGAGAAAAGGCTACTTGATTTGACAGCTCCTATCCTGCAAGAAAACAGAAATAAGCCTGGTTTTCAACCAGAATCATCACCTCTGGAGTTTAATTTCAAGATACTTATCTAGTGATACAGAACTCCCCGCCACCACTCTTAATCCCCCCCAAACCACACAAACAAACGGAAGTAAAACCAAGTATGTCCTTTGTGATTTTTGATTAGTGAACTGAATATACATAGCTAAATCTGGGTTTACCTGTGTTACTAATACAACAGTATTTCTCTTTAAAATAGTGTTTTCAATCTAGAACTACATTAAAGCACACATAAAAAGGGAACATACACATCTCACGGGCTGTTTAACCAACACTCCCAGTTTGCAGAGGGAGATCCTTTCATTAATACAGTGCTAGAACTCACAGGCACACATTTACACACCAAGTCAGGCATCCTGTAAACAAAGCTCCCTCTCCCAACGTGGCAATGACTCATTTAATCTATGTCAAACAGAATCAAGACATCGTTTATTTTAATAGAAAGGAAATGTTTCCTGTACCACATGGTACGTAACAATGCTCGTTTCTATTTGATAATGCCATGCAAGCAATCCAAGAAGAATCTGCTTTTGCAAACTGCTTTTTAAGCACACCTGTGTTTCCCTACTGGAAGTAATTTGCATATGTGCTCATTCCATTCTTCATTAATAAATAGTGATAGTAAAGAAAGGAGAGAGACACTGTAACTCAATACAAGCCTCAGGAACCATTTTATTCTGATACTTAGGACCTCATCATACATCCAGTCCAAGCACTCCTAACACAGACATTGTTTCTTCCTTGCTCAGGTTTTTGCCTCAACATTTGCTCAATGGTTTTTTCTAGTTCAATTTCAAAACAAAAATAAAAGAGCATTTAATATCACACTATTTCATGTCAATCACAACAGCAAGGGGTACAAGTATTCTTGAAAATACAGTGTGTATCAAGATTGGGCTCTGGATGGCTTTACTACCACACACTGTGTATTGCATACCACACGAAACACAACACTGCAGACCCTTAATTTTACAAGTGAGTGCATCTGTGCATTTGTGTATTTGCTTCTCCATTCCTTGAAGCTCTTACACTCAAACTTCAGGCACCTGTGTTCATCAAAAAGAAGCTTTAGAAAATACAGTACCTCAATCAAAAGCAAGTGAAGAGATGTGGTGGGGCTGACAGTAAATGGTGCTCTGGTGGGACACCAGACAAGGCTTAAATGAATCACACTCAATGTGAACCACGTCCGCTAGAGTCTGCTTGTGGCTCTGAAACACATGTGGAGACCACTGTCATCACTGGAGTGACCCCTCTAAAAACACCTCTTTATTGCAGCAGCTCCGAACAGTGATACAATTTCGTGCCATCTTGAAAGGCAGACCCAGTGTTCAGGAAAGATATTTTCACTAGACAAAAGCAGGAACTGTGTCTCACTCACGTTATGTGATTTAGCTCGGTGGTTGGGGTGTGGGGATCTAAAGCATCTAGGATGTCCTCTGATGGTCGGAGAAACTTCAAAAAAGACTACAGTGCTCTGCCCTAGGGCTTCAGTTTGCCTTCCTTCACTAATTGCTCGTTGAGCTGGCAAAGCTGCCTTAGAAAGCCATCGTTGGGGCCAATCTCTCGCTTCTGCCGGACGGTGCACAGCGCAGACTTGACGTCCATATTCTGGCGGAGCATGAGGTAGGCGATGACCAACGTAGGAGAACGGCTGTAGCCCTCACGGCAATGCACAAACACTTGGCCTGCAGGGAAGACAGGTCATGATTTGGGTTATATTGGTATATATGTTTGAAAAGCACCACGAAATAGCTAGGATATAAAGCGTCGTATTAGTCCTTCGGCAGCTTGAGAAATATAAATTCTGAATGCCACAGAAGACCTGCTGAACTTGGAAGAAAGGTGCTATCACTCTGTTAGTAGCTACACAGTCTGTCAATAATAAAACAGGCCACTGCCCCCTTTGAGAAATCCAATTGGATTTTATTGCTTCTCAGCTGCTTCCTCTTTGACCTGCTTTTCCAGACACAAAAATTTCCCTCTTCCCAAAGGCATTGGACTACTCTCCAGAGTATTTTTTGCTGTAAGACAAGAGAACAGATGAACCATACACACACATTTTCATCATAACCACAACTTGCTTTGAACTACAGCAACAGAAGGCATCTCAAGGCAAATCTCTATCAGTGGCACATTAAACAGCTAAACCAATTCATTCTCAATATTTCTTAAGAGCCCATGGCCATAAATTAACAAGATTCAGAGATTCTTGATCATATCATGGAAGAGAATTGCCTTCCCCTCTGCAAACAATCCAAAGCAAAAGGGTTTCTAGCCTTGCTCTGTAAAAGGCAGTGACTTAAGGGCTTCCTTCCAGACCTCTAGTATACCAAACCTGCCTTCCAGAACTTCATGCACCTACAATGATAAAATGAAATCAAAGGAAAATTAGTACTGCATCCCTCTTCACTTCACTGTCTTTACGCGTCAATGTCAGAAAAAACTATCAAATTTCAGGAACGAGTTAATCTTAAAACTGGCTCCAGCATCACCCTGCTATGAAGTTCCTCTTTGTTTACAACAGTAAGAAAACAGTGGCAGGTGTGGTAGACAATTACTGAGACCGAAAGAATCATCAAACAGAACGGCTACTGTACATTTAGATTGACCCTGCAACTGTTCACATCAAACTGCAGAGGGAGAGTCATGGCAGAGCTGGCACTGCTAAACTCTTCTTTCCTACTGCAACCCGTTTCAGTGTGTCACAACACTAAGTGGAAGAGTTGCAGTTCAATTTTTAGAATTTGTCATACTCCACCAAACTGGAGATAAAATGTCTTTCCATCCGTCAAAAGCAGATCACAGCTCTCGTACCCCTTTTGCCCATTTCAGAGAAAGAACTTCTGAAATTGTGGGAGTTATTCTTCCTCCTCGTTCATGTTCAGTCATGAAGCAAGAAAGAAATTCAACATGTGTAGAAATAACTGGTGTGCTGAAATAGTCTGACCAACAAACACCGTCTGGCCCACTGCACTATGTCCTAGGATTTCTGCTCTGAGGAAACACACTGGAGAGAAATGAGGCAATCAACAACATTGCAGATGTTCAGTAATGCAGTACTTTTATCACTTCTACCCTTAGTTTGTAATTTCTAGCGTCTTAAAACTACTTTGAGATCCTGAACTTATTTTATTTTTTCATGTGACTTACCATTTCTAAGGAAAAATAAGAACACATCTTCACAGAAAGGCACTATTATGGGACGCAGCAGCCGTTTCACTTTTCAAAGTCACCCCTACAGTGACAGACTTCCATTTGCCATATATCAGAGACCTACATGTATAGACAGAGGATTAAGATGTTCTATTGTGTATTCTGGTGTCTTTGATCCAGAGCCTTGATCTGAGTTCCTGATTTGTTTGCTCAGCTAATAATCTGAGCAAAGCACCACTTTAAACAGTAAAAAAGATATGCTAAGAAACATATGCAGCGCAGAGAAAACACGATAGAAAGGTATTTCAGTTTGCCTTACCGTCCTTCTGGGAAAGTGCTTTCTCAATAAAATCAGCTGCCTCCTCAAAATAGCGACTGAGGTTAAATTCTTGAGTATCATTAGCTTTAATGCCGTGGTATCTGATGCCTGTGCCTTCGTAGAACTCCGCGTTAGTGTTCACGTGCATGAATGACTTCCCCTCTGCTGCGTTCAGAACGTGGGTTATCCCCAGACGCTGCAGCCTCGAAATGTTCTTGGCCATGAACCTGTATGGTAAGAAGTGTCAAGAAAACAATTAGAACAATCATCTCAGTATTTATGATGTCCCCCGAAGGCACTGAGAATGAAACCCTTTTTCTGTTAATAGATGCTAAATATACTGTGCCCAGAAGTGAATTAGCTACAGATTATAAATGCCCAGAATGCAGTCTATAGTAAGAGGAGATAACCATTAAATAATATGAGAAGACCATTGACTCCTTTTTATCATAAAACCACTACTTTTCATTCCGAGTCTGATTATTTCCATACGTCAGTGCCAATATTTGCCTCACTTTCCTGGGAAGAAATAAAAGAACACATTTATCACACCAGGTGGTCTCCTAGTAAAATCTGAGCTCAGTGGTCAACATCAGCAGAATGTGACAGGAGGCTTTAGTTGAAAGATAACTCAGTTCCTGCACGCTTTGTGAAGAGGTAGCCTAAACAGACATAAATCTCTTTATTGTTTTTAAAGGCAGCTTGTGCAGCTGCCTTTAAAATAAACATTTGTGCAGTATCTTTTTGGACAAGTTTCTAAGAGACGGCAGTGCACCTGAGGGTTTGCTGGACACTTAGTTATTCTAAGGCAGTTAAAATCAATACCCAGATTAGTTGGTTCATATCTATATGAATCTCTGAGCACATTTCACTCACAATTTTCCTGAAATTCAAGGCTATGTGAACATGTAGAGTGTTCCTTTTCTCCTAATGACTGTTCACCCCTTAAACTCTAGTGTAAGCAGATGAAGCCTTACGCACGAGTGAAGCTTCTACATTTTCTGCTGTCTGTGCCAAACAACTATGGCAATGAGCCAAATATTTGTAAAGACTTCATTACCCAAACGAATGTTGACAGATTTTCCATCTGGCAGGACATCATCTGTGCCAGGGGACAAATGTCAGTGCCTGAGGAAATCGGCTTGCAACACAAAAGTAAATCCTACAGGGCAAGGCCAAACCAAAAAGCGTTAATTCAGCTGTGAGTTCCTATGCTTAGTGGGGCAAGCATAAGGTTTAAGTAATAGTATATATCTGATAGTGGTCAGGATCGATACGAACTCACATCCTGCTTGCTCTGAATAAAAACCCTACCCTGCAGTGTGTTGACTGCTCCCCATATTTTGCTGCACAAATCACCTTGCAGGCTGTGACTTCATTTCTTCCAGGTGACTGGCTAAAAATATGAAGGTGGCTGTCAGACATCAGATTGGCCACTGAGATAATAATTTGATAATAGAGTCCTGTCTCTAGATGTGCATGTCCCACATGTCCTGTCAACTGGCGATGACAAACATCAGTTGTTTTGGCTTAGGAGAACGTTAATGAAAACCTATGGGTTTGATATTTAAGAGTTACAAGCTTCAAATCAGGACAGGGATCCAGTATACTACAGATGAATCAAAAATTTCCAAATTTCACAGAGATAAAGTGGACAAAGATGGACAAAAAGGGGACAAAGAATCAGCAGAATATGATAGGACTGGGACACGTAACTGAAATCTTGATCTTGACACAAAGAATAAACATCCTAGAACTGAAAAAAATGCTATTGGTGAACCCTGAACACTTTTCCCCATTTAAGGCTTTTATCATAGCTATGCCTGCAACGCTCTGGCTCCCACCATGTGCATGAATAGTTAATTAGGATGAGTTTATTTAGGACTTAAGAGTGCAGAAACATTCGTTTGACCAATCACAGGTGGGGTGGTGACTCCTGTTAAAGTCTTGCTTCCTTTAGGTTATTTTGCACAACCCAAATCTGGTATCATATTGCTACTGTGCTTGTTCTTTGCATTCCAGCTAATTCCACTCGTCTGACATGATGTGTTCTGGGCCCCCCAGTTCAAGAGGGACAGGGAACTACTGGAGAGAGTCCAGCGTAGGGCAACAGAGATGATTAAGGGATCAGGGAACCTCCCTTACGAGGAAAGGCTCAAGGAGCTGGGACTCTTTAGCCTGGACAAGCGAAGACTAAGGGGAGACCTTATTTATAAGTATCTAAAGGGTGGGTTGAAGGATGTTGGAGCTGGACTCTTTTCAGTGGTTTCCAGCGATAGGACAAGGGGCAACGGGCTCAAGCTGGAACATGGGAAGTTCCATTCAAATCTGAGAAAAAACTTCTTTGGGGTGAGGGTGGCAGAGCCCTGGCAGAGGCTGTCCAGGGAGGGTGTGGAGTCCCCTTCTCTGGAGATCTTCAAGCCCCACCTGGATGCTCCTGAGTGATGTGCTCTGGGCAGCCCTGCTTTGGCAGGGGGTTGGACTGGATGATCTCTAGAGGTCCTTTCCAACTGACAATTCCCTGATTCCGTGACACAGGGCCGTTACACTGGCGTTTCCTCAGGGCTTCCACACACGGTGCTGCCCGTCTCGCCCATCGCGCCTCTCCCCCCTCAGCGTGGAGGGCACAACTTGTTAACAGGGAGGGGAAAAAACCCCCAGCGCTAACACAACTGAGGAGGTGCGTTTCACTGTTGAGCAACTTGGAGGAGTTTTAACCCTGTATCAGCTCTATTTCAGCTTATTCTTGGGACTCCAACAGGGCACTGAACCTGTTAGCTGATGCCGCCTCGTTCCTCAGCCCCAGGCTGCCCCGGCCTGCCCGCCACAGGCCTGCCCCAGCCCGGGCCCGCCCGGTCCCCTCAGCCCGCCTTCCCGCCGTGCAGCCTCCCGTCCCCGCCGCTCCCGCTGAGCGCCCCTCAGTCCCTCACGCTCCCGCCTCCCTCCGGGCCTGCGCCCCCCGGGTGCCCGCCGCGGGGCTGAGGGGCGGGGGGGGGGACTCACGCGTTCCCCACGTGGATGCGCGGCACCACCTCGTTACTGTGGGCGCTGGGCAGGCTGTAGCAGCCGCTGCCATTAGCCAGGAGGTCGTTCAGCTCCTCCACCGAGATCCGGTAATCGGACATGGCCGGGCCCCAAACCAACCTAAAGGCCCCCCCCGTCCCCCCCCCGCCTTGGCGCAGCCGCCCGGGCCCAACGCTTCTGCCCCGCCCCCGTTCGGTAACGGCCACCGCCCGCTGGGCGGAGCCGCCATGGCCTCCTCTGGCGGCCGGGCCCGCCGGGATCACCCCGGCTCCATTCGGGGCTTCGATGAGCCCTCGGCTGCTGAGAAGACACGGTGGCCTCTCCGGGCCGCTGCAGCGCGGGGCATGGACACTGCGGGCCTCACCCTGAAGCTGCTCCTGGTGGGGGACAGCGCCGTGGGGAAGTCCAGGTGCGGGGCGGTGCGGGGCGATGCGGGGAGGTGCGGGGCGAGCGCTCTCCCTCAGCTCCGCTCCCAGCTCAGGGCTCCTCTCTCCCCACAGCCTGCTGCTGAGGTTCACCGACGGCGCCTTCGAGCCCTGCCTCAAGCCCACGGTCGGTGAGTCGAGGAACCGGGGGACGGTGCCGCCGGTTTCCGTCGGGAGCCGTCGGTGTGAGGCCGGGACCGGGGCTTGGGGGGGTCTGCAAAGGCGAGGAACTTGTCTCCGGTTCTTTCTGACAAGCCTTCCTGAAGAGAGGATCTAGTAGTTGTTTGTATCCCTAGAACCTTGAAGTGTCTAGTAGTGGTTTGTATTTTTAAAATGGTCTATCTTAGACGGGTAGTATAACCTCGCAGGTGCTTGCTTATCTCCAATAACGGATGGGAGGACGACACTAACTTCTTATTGTGCCTTAGGTGTTGATTTTAAAGTGAAGAAAATGGTGGTAGACGGCCACTCAGTGCAGCTTGCAATATGGGTAGGTTTTGTGCTCCACGGATGTGAAAACTAACAGCTGCTTTTTGGGGCTTTTTTTTGTCTCTTCCTTCTTCCTCCCCCCCCTCCTTTGCTAAAGGCTTCCGCCTGTCGATGCTGTGCTCGTACGACGGCGTGTGCACACGGGATGAGTGTGTGTTGTGAGCGTGCGACGGTAGTTACAGACCAGGTTCTTTGAAAACATTGATAAATACCTTATTGCTCGAGGTTTGGGACTTCTTCAGTTCACTGAATTTTTAGAGTTGGAAGGGACCATAGAGATCATCTAGTCCAACTCCCCTGCTGAAGCAGGACCACCCAGAGCTTGTCAGAGCATGTTACTCAGGATCATCCAGGCGGGGCTTGAAAATCTCCAAAGAAGGGGACTCCACACCCTCCCTGGGCAGCCTGTTCCAGGGCTCTGCCACCCTCACTGGGAAGAAGTTTTTCCTCCTATTTGAGTGGAACCTCTTCTGTTCCAACTTGTGCCCGTTGCCCCTCGTCCTCTCCCTGGGAACCACTGCAAAGAGTCTGGCTCCCTCCTCCTTCAACCCTCCCTTGAGATACTTGTAGGCATTGATAAAGTCTCCCCTCAGCCTTCTCTTCCCCAGACTAAAGAGTCCCAGCTCTCTCAGTCTTTCTTCATAAGGGAGATGCTCCAATCCTTGAATCATCTTTGTTGCCCTTCGCTGGACTCTTTCCAGTAGCTCCTTGTCCCTCTTGAACCGGGGAGCCCAGAACTGGACGAAATATTCCAATTCACCAGTGCAGAGTAGAGGGGGAGAATGACTTCCCTTGACCTGGTGGCCACACACTTCCCTCCGCAGCCCAGGATTCTGGTGGCCTTCCTGGCCACAAGAGCAGTTCTGGCAGAGATTTTGACAGCTCTTTTCTGCACTTACACAACTGGGTTTCTCAGACGCTGTGTGAAGTGTTAGACTTGTGAAGATGTGGCCTCACGAGAAAGGCCGGCGCTTCCAGGACAGACAGCACTTAAGTGTACTGTAGAAACAGGATGAATTAGGAAAAATATCTTCATGGAAAGGGCTATCCAGCATTGGAATAGGCTGCCCAGGGAAGTGGTTGAGGCACCGTCCCTGGAGGCGTTCAAAAGACGGGTTGACATGGTCCTCAAGAATATGGTTTAGTGATTTTTTTTATGGTTTATTTCTTATTTATTTTTTTGTTAGAGTTAGGTTGATGGTTGGACTAGATGATCTTTAAGGTCCCTTCCAACCTAGACGATTCTATGATTCTATGACCCTAGAAGGAATAGATTTTATGTGTATGGTCGTAGGTAATTGACAAAAGAACACACCATTACAAAGTAAGTCATTGGGGCTATTGGAAAGAGAGCACAAATGTGCCTTGGGCTGGTAATAACAAAAGTAATATTAATGTCAAAATCTGAATTACTTTTCTCTTTGGAGAGAGGTGGGAGAGAGCATCTGTTGCCTGCTTCACTGGTCAGTTTGGCCCAAACCACAACATTTTCATTCAGGCTTTGTGTACAGGATGCAGAGCGAGAGTGATGAAGTCACACCTATGTATTGGCTGTATTTTGAACACACTGCACACAAAACAGAAGATTTACTGAGAGTAACCAAAACACGTTTGCCCTAATAATCACCCAGGGGTGTGTCTCCTTGCTGTGACATAAAAAGCAAGGCCAGCATTTGCACAAGTTGCGCAGCTGGAAAAAGCACTTTTGCAGCAGTCTGTAATAGCATCAGGAGAAACTGCTAATTAGGGGGGAAAAAAACCAGTGCAATTGTGCAATGTTAAATAAAAACTTTAATGCATGTACGGTACATCAAGGTCAAAAAGAAGCTTCTGATTTAGTGTCCATGTGCTCATGGGTGCCGAAAAGGACAATACTCTTAGTAACTATGACTAGAAATAAGTAAATACATCTCCAATTTTAGTTTTTTCTTTTAACAAAGAAGTAAATTAAAACATAGCTGTTAGTTTATTGTAATCTATACGAAAACTTAAATAAATTTTTCTGGTAAAAATCGTATTCGTGTAATTCTTTTGCTTCTTTACTGTTTGTTCTGGGAGGTTTTGAATTTCATGTTGCATTTAGGAGCTATTTCAAAGATTTGCGAGAGTAAGTGTGACATACTACAGTAATATTTGAATGAAGCTACTGCAAATTTCTTACCTGTTTAGTCTTAGCAAACTTGAAGTAACTCTGACTGGATTCTCCTTTCCTACAGCATCTCTCACTGGAAAGCCAGTTATTCCTCACCTTGTTCAGTTCAGCTCATTAAGTGTCGCTGCTTGGCTTGCCACAGTAGCCTTTTATGTATTTCTCTGGAGTCCCATTGACTTTCTTCTCCTATCACTGATGTTACAGGTGTTTGTGCTTATCATTTGAACCTTCAATTAAGTCCTCTCTGTGCTTTTGTGCCCCTCTTTAATCACTTTCTGTTGCTGCTGCTAATGGTTTCTGACTCCTTCCCTCATTCTCTTGTCCTATGGTTTCACATATCCTTACTGGCCAAGAAAAATTTAACTTTATCTAGTGTATTAAAATACTGTTTTTGTTCTAAATGTATTTGATTTTGTGTATATTTGTTTGGGTGGGTTTTTTGTTTGTTTGTTTTCTCCTCTGTAGGACACGGCAGGACAGGAGCGCTTTAGAACACTGACTCCCAGTTATTACCGAGGAGCTCAAGGGGTTGTTTTAGGTAGGATGTATATGCAAGAAAAACATGATTATGCAAAGTGTGGTCTTTATTACTACCTGTATGTGTATGTCTTTAATAAAGGGAGGTTGTCTGAGAGAAGCAGAGGAACAGTTATGGTTTTTGCAACATTACTGCATCGTTAGCTCAGACACTTGAGTTTGCAAGTCCACTGGGCAGGAAAGAATGCTTCTTTAAAATACTTTAAATGAAAAATACAGAGATGTCACATTGCAAGATGTTGAGTGCATAATTTATCAGCTTTGTAGTAATTACTTTTTTGAGTTTCTGGTAACAAGACAGACTGGGTTTTGTGTTGGTGTCCTAGTGTCGTGTCCCCCTCCCTTTTTTTTTTTTTTCCCCCCAGAACCTGTTGATGCAATTACTGTAAGATGTGAGGTTTGTAGCACAAGGAGTGTGCTGCACTACTGTAGTAGTAGATGGTTAGTCCCTTTCTGCATGACAACACCAATTAGAAAAAGAAGGGATTCTTATTCTCGGGGATTGTGAAGGCTGAACACCTTGCTGGACAAAATAATCTGAGTGTGATGTAGCTTTTTAAACCTTATGATGAAGTGAATGCAGTTATGAAGTTATCAGTGATCAGAAGTCACTTCTTACTCAGAATCCATGTTTTTAGCAGCAGTGCATGCATGTAGTTACACATTAAATGAGGTGATAAAATACCTATTTTAAAATATTCTGTGTGACCCAATGCAGAACTAGTAACAAGTATAATATTTCAACTAGTTTGATTTCCAGTCACAGATCTGTTGCAGAGATGCTCCGTTCTGTAACCCCAAGTGACTCTGGGTGAGCACAGACAGTGTGTTCAGCTCTGGGCAGAGGGTAGGGTTGATCCATCTTTCTGTCATTCCCTAATGCTGGTTTTTGTCCGGGGCGGTAGTTCACTAGTAGGGACTAAGATCTGCCATAATGATGTGAACGTTGTTCAGGACTCTGCAGCTGTTAAAAACTCCTTTTCCTCTGTTACCAGTGTATGATGTTACAAGAAAAGACACTTTCGCAGGACTAGAGAGCTGGCTGAATGAGCTGGACATGTATACCACCAAAAGCAACACTGTGAAGATGTTAGTTGGCAATAAAACGGATAAGGTCAGTTTAGAAATGCATCTTTTTACACTGTTCGACAAATACTCAGTCCTGATAGAGTATAAATGTGAGATAAATGCTGAAAATAACTCATCGGTTGTGCAAGGAGGTGACAGTGCTCTGTAACCGAGGAACCTGGATTGAGCAGACTCCACTTGCTACCTCATTTTTGAAGCGGATCTTATTAAAGAATTTAATGGAAACTCTCCTGGAGAGATGCAATTTTTGAGAGAGATTCTCTTAAGATAGTGAGAGGTTCTGCCTAAAAACTGCTGTGTACCATTAAATGCAGTGCAACAGCACAACTGCTGCTTGCTTTTTGACCAGACTGTGTTCCCCAGGTGGTGGGAAAGGAGAATTCAGCTCTTCAGATTGCTGTAGAGTGTGCATCTGTGTGGGTGTGGGGTGCACTGGTTGCTGGGGTGTTTTAATAAATCTTGGAGGCCTGGTGCATAATGAGATGTCTCTCTTCTGCTTTACTATGAGAGGTTTCCAGCGTGGCTATCCTGATCTAAGCTTTCTTCTGCCCCTTTCCAAATCTGTTGATTTTCAGATATGCCTTTTCCACTATTTGACTACTGAAACCTCCTTTCTGGCATAGAACTTACTCCTGGTTGATTCAGAAGATAGAAATGCATTCATTTCCTACTGACTTCTTACTGCTACTCTTCAATGTGACCACCTAACAGTAAGCTGGCTGTAGAATGGGAAAGTTGGTTTGCTGCTGCATGGTTTTATAGACCTTTTTCTTTTCAACAAAACCACTTCTGCCAGTGGTGCTTTTCCAGGGGCATCCAAAAAGTGGCAGGTGTAGTTTATTTCAGTCATGTTCTTCCTTTGTCTCTGCAGCCTGATCGTGAAGTAGAGAGAAAGGAAGGACTCCAGTTTGCTAGGAAACGCTCACTGCTTTTTATAGGTATGTAACTCTGTCCCAAAAACTTGAGTATTTGTGTCTTTATTTTGGTATTGCTAAGCGTGAATGAAGTGTGCAATTGTATTTCACATTGATAGGTGTATTTACATTTTTTTTAGAACCTAATTAATATGGGTTCCTTTTGCTGCATTAGTTCATATGCGTGGATGTAGGTTTTGACTTTTTTCAGAGATGCTCTGCATTGACTGCAACTGGAAGTAATTTTTCTCTTAAAGAGATTTACTTCATATACTGCGTAGGCATGAATTTTATATTCTTTTGAAATTCTTAATTCAGAGCCCAGAAGACTGGAATTTTTCTCCTGATTGATGTCAGGAAGCACCTTGAGTAATCTCTTCTGTTTCCCAGTTGCTGTTGTAGCAACATAAAAGACTGTACATTTTGTTGGTGGTCTAAGAATACTATGTGAAAAAAAAATACAAAGATGAGGAACAAACTGTGTTTAAGAAAAAAAAATGCATCTTTTAGGTGAAGCTTCTTGAAAAGATTTCTGAAAGGAACTGGAACAAATGCATAGGGGAAAACATTTAATTCCCTCTGCATTCTTTATTTCCCAGCTTCGTTATTGAGTAATTGTCTTCTAGATTTACTGTCACAACCTGAGAACAAAATCTGTTTCTCCATTATGGAGAGAATGGGGAGCTGTGGAATTTTTTTAGGTGGAAAAATGCCATGCTTCAGACTTGAATGCATTTCTGTTTATCATATTCAACTTAAGCGTGCCTTTAAGGGAGAATGGAAAGAAGGTTCACTCATTTAAAAAAAAATCGTATCTTTTCTCCGGTCCCAAAAGAACTTCTTACAAAGTGGAATACTGCAAAGAAGATAAAATACTTTCCCCCCTCCTTTCTTCCCCCTCACCAGAGACCAGTGCCAAGACACAAGATGGAGTGCAACATGCCTTTGAGGAACTAGTCATAAAGATCCTGCAGACGCCAGGTCTTTGGGATAAAAGTGCCCAAAAGCGGGGAGTCCAGCTGACGGAATCTGCAGCGCAGCGGGACAAAGGCTTATGCAGTGCATACTGTCCACTTTCTTAGATCTACAGGTGGCTGCTGTGTCTGAATGGAGTAGATGACTACTTTTTTATTTTTTGTAAATAGTAGCCTGTGCCTTGTTTGACCTGCCATCAATTGTGTAGATCCAAAACCCAGACTGATCAGCAAAATACGTTTTTGTTCCTTAACGAAAACAGTTCATTCTTATGCACAATTGATAGCTCCAGATATTCTTCTGGTAACGAGTGCTGCTAAAGTATCCTGCTTCTGCTGTATGGCACTTAACATGGACTTTTTCTGAAATTCCTGCCTTGGCATAAAATGAAGTAGTACTCCATTTGGGGATATTATTGAAAAGCTTCTCTTCCCCAGAATTTCATGGGAGTCTTTTAGGCACCCAAATTCCCTTATAACAGTCAGGGGTCACCATGAGCAATGACAGTGTTTCCCTGTTCCAGATGTTTTAAGCAGTCGAAATTGCTACTTATCCCCATATAGTAAGCTGAGTTCTTACTTAATTTCAGGGTTGTAGTGAAGAGGTGTATCTATTAACATTTGGCAGGAAAAAAACCCACTTTTTCTGGAGTACACTGAAGGTTACCCTTTGCTGCTCTTCATATACTTTGTGCTGAGGATCAGCAGTGAAATGGAGTCATCATTTTGGGTTGGTTCACACGTTGGGTCCTTTTTAGTTAACGGGAGGCTCTGCAAACCCCTGTTCCTGCTGTCATTCAGCAATCACAGGGCTAAAACTAATTTTAATATGCAATGTGCTGGTTATGGAAGACTTTCCATTAGGATGAGTGAGTCTGTTGCCAATCCCATTATGAAGTTCTGTCAGGTAACTGTCATTTTTGCCATTTCCCACCCCCATTACACTCACTGCCTTTTCTTGAACTGAGTGGTGGAAGATGGTAGCCTGGACTCTGATCTTGGTAGCAATGCCTGCAGAAGACTTCTGGTTGGCTGCCTGCAACGCTGTGAAAATACCACATTTGGGGAAGGTATTAAAAGCATTTAAAACTGAAGTGCTTGTAAACAAGTGACAAATCCAAAGTATGTTGTTCATTACAGCACATTGTCCAGACACAACAGAGAAATCGGGCCTTTTTAAGATGCATGTTTTGATGATTCATTGCTCTCAAGTCAATTTATTGGTGGGAGTGCCTTCATGAGAATCACCAGTGGTTTGTTGTGAGTGTTCACACAACGCAGCTGAAGACACGGCGTATAAACTTCACCCTCCCTTGGGAACTGTTCTAGCTTGTTCTCTGCAACGTTGGTCTGGTGGAGCTGGTTTCTTCTGTGAAAAAGTGTGCCTGTATAATTGTTGCTAAAGTGAATAGAAACACCTGGATTGGGTTTTTGCATCAGCTTCTGCCCCACGACGTAAGCGGCTGTGTCGCTGGAATATCGCTCCTGTGTATTTCCCTCTCCTGAAATCGGTCTGAGGGAGATTGCAGATCTTACAGTAGTTTTAAATGTCTTTTTAGCAGTAGAAACACAAGTGCTGCTTACGCTTTCATCTTGGTTTTGGTCTAGAAGATGTCCTTTTGGAATACTCAGATCAGCTTACGAGAGAACAGAAGAGAGTGATTTCTGTTGGTGTGACCGGTAGCAGCTGGATCGGTCCTGTCAGCAGATCAGAGTGTCTGCAGCAAAGTGGGAGCCTCTCACAATTTGAGATTGTCTGGAATGTCCAGGTGGAGCTGCAAACGGAGCATGGACACCAGAAAATAAAGAGTAGGAAGTCATGTTAGAAGATGGGAGGCTGTGGCAGCTGTAATCTCCAGGTGGAAATGCAAACGGAGCATGGACACCAGAAAATAAAGAGTAGGAAGTCATGTTAGAAGATGGGAGGCTGTGGCAGCTGTAATCTCCAGGTGGAAATGCAAACGGAGCATGGACACCAGAAAATAAAGAGTAGGAAGTCAAATTCAGAAGATGGGAGGCTGTGACAGCTGTAACAGAGCCATAAAACCAGGGGGAAGGCTAGGAAGGAGACAATCAGGAGGAGGTGGAGATGAATGACTTCCCATCAGCAGGCCATACCATGGTCTTGGTGCATTCACTGCTCCTTGGGGAGGGTTTTTTCCTGGTGACAGGTATGAGTTTTATGCAATGAGCCCAACACCGAGGTAGTTGCTTCTTTCCTACGTTTCCTGGGGTTAAGAAGAAACTGGAAGGAAGACCCTTCTGTTGCTGGGCTGTTGAATGTGGGCAAAACCGCTCCGCTGGTCAGTGCTGCAGTTGGTATCTGCCTTCCTTGGAAGGCCTCATTTTTAAGAATGGCATATTTTTTTAGAAATAATTAAACAGCTGGCAGCCCTTTTAAAAGTAACATCGTCTTCCTTTGCATCATGCTTCCGTTTGCTGCAAATGCAATCCTACTAATGAATGCTTCCTCTGTTATATTTGGGGGAAGAAACCCAGAACCAAAATCTACCTTGATTAATTTATGAATTTTTGTTGTTTTCTGTAGTAATAACAATTTTTGAAGGAAGTGATCTAAATGAGTCTTCCATTCAGTTTTGAATATAGTCAGGGTTGAAAGTACTAATGTAAATATACACACTTATTCATACTAGAAACTACAAGAAATATGTCTCCAGTTCCAGATTTGCAAAATGAAATGTAAAATTTAGTGCTTAGGCCTGAGTGAACTAGTCCTGCTGTGGAATGTTTCTACGCAGTGAAAAAGGTATTATCTGATGGTCTAACTTTGCCTTTGCAACCTCAAATATAAAGGAAAACAAACTATATTACAAATTCAGCTGGCGGTATCACTGGAAGGTATCGTAGATCCTTCTGCTATGATACCAGAAGCGTGTGGTTGTACTTTTAGATTTTACCCATTTGGAGGTGCCTGCTGTAAAAGAGTAGCTGAAGTTATGTAGGTGTAAGTCTGACTTAAAACTGTGCAGGGAAAGGATATGAATGTGCTGTGATAAAGGCTGTTATGGAAATGTTGACCAAAGGCAATGTCTCATCACAGGATCCACTGAAATATTAAGGGGGAATGTGTACATGGGGGTAGGTAACAGGAGCCTGGCAGTGGGCATTTGCAACTATATATATATATATGTATGTATCTATATACGTGCCTTACAAGTATCATTTCATTAGCCAGAAAATGTGTTTTCAAATGTGCCCTTTTTTTATAGCTCAAATAGAGGCAAGCAGAATAGGAAAATAATGAACATCACTGTGGAAAACTAAGGTATTTTGGAGAGGTCTGTTGACTATAAGCCTACCTATGATCATAAGAATTCTGAGACTGGTTGGCAGGGATGTACTTCAATTTTTGTTTATAGTGTAACTATTATTTTATTATAACTTCAAACTAAATAAATTGTGTTGGGTTGCTTTTAAAATGATATATATTTAGTTAACTGTGTATTGAACTAGAAAAATACTGAACCTTAAAAAAATCTGAAAGTAGTAAGAAAGCATTGGGTAATTACAAAAGAGAGCAAGGGAAACAGTCTGTAGAACAAAATTCCAGGTAGGTATTTGGGTTGAAGGACTCCCTATGTTGGGGGAGGGGATGTGGTCTTAGTGCTAATGGATCCTTTGTTGAAGTTGCATTTTGTTGCTATTTTATTCTGATATTCTCAATAAATATTGCCAGTATTTTAGTATAAAGAAAATGTGCCAGTATATTACATTAATGACTTAATCTTTCTACTGTCAACTCCACTCTACTACTGAAAAGATGACCAGAACAAGAACCTTGCTTTTACATTACAGAAGTGGAACCTAATTTCAGTAATGGCTCCAGCCAACTTTTCACTGAAAGTTTAGGAAGCCAGAGGATCTAGACAGGTTTGTTGGTGTTTCTTTTTTTTCTGTATCTTTTCAGCTTGTTAATTAGGAACTTGAGGAGCTCACAGGTTTTACTACTTAAAATTGTAGTCTTTTTCCCCACATGAGACACAGCTTATGATGGGTTGTGCTCAATTAGCAATACCTGTAAGGGAAAGCATCTTTTTAACTGCCTCCCCATATTCCCCTTGCTCCTTCTCAGGTTCTCTACAAGTTTTTCTATTTTGTCTGAAAGGGCAAAACAAAGGAGTATTTTAGTGCATTCTTGATACCCCTCAAATATCTGGGATACTTGGTTGTAGAAGGTTTTCATGTCCCATTCTGGACAAACTAAGATGTCTCTAATAAAAAAAAAAGCAGCTAATCTTTATTGTTTTGAAAAAGGCAATGATGGCTGATCAATAAAATATGTATTAAGAATCTGTAGGTATCACTAAGATATTCTCAGGCAGGAGGTAGAAGAATATACAGTCCATATTAACAAACAGTTATATGTTCTACAGAGGACTTGACTGAGAGCCCCAGTATGGAATTGGCATACAAAGGGAAGAGGCTGTGTAGAAGTAGGGAGGAAAAAAGAATGAGGTATACTTCTATTAATTAAAGTTTTTTTTACAGTGCCTAATTACAAAAGCCATAAATTTGAGATGTGAGCAAGGAGGAGAGAGGGATAAGGGGAGGAGTTTCAGTTTGCCTAGGTAATTTAGAATTAATGGCAGAGCTGATGTGCCACCTGTGTGTGAAGAAGTCCTTGTGCATTTGCTGAGGCCACCAGTCTGGCATCTGACTGAAAAGTGCTCGTTTTTGTAGGAGTGGGAACCTCAATGCCTGAGGGCAGGAGAAAGTTGCCAGGGTACACGTTTGGAGAAGATGGATACGGGTGACTGCCCTACAAAACTTTTTGGGGTAGAGTTAATGTAGATTCAGTGACACTGGTATGAAAGAAATATGCTTTTAATATGCAATGATGTTAATTTTGCTAAATGCAGTGGAACAAGAATAACATCACACTGTTGAGATGCAAGGAATGAGACTGGTGCACCAAAAGGTCCTGTTAAAGGGCACCGGATACAGGAAAGATCAGACCTCAGCAGGCAATGGAAAACAGCAACTATTTTCAGCTAACATGCACCTGTACAATATCATTTTTTTTCAACTAATTGTAAAGCAAGGCGTTTCCAGAATCATCTCGCTGCATCTTCTTATTAACACCCATCTAAAAATCCTGGATATTCAAGTCTCCTGAAATATATACAGAGTCCTGTAGCAGGTAAGATTTCTTCGTTGGGACTTGATGTGACCAGTTAGATGCTCTGGAAGCCTTTACTCGATTTGGAACAAAGGTAATGATAAATGCTGGAAGGATGCCCTGTAGCTCATCTACTTGGTACTCCAGCCTCCTCCTCTTAGCACCCTTCTGAAGCTACTGTGTTGGTGCCAAGGTGGTATCCCATCAGGTGACATTTGCAAAGAAGCCTTGTAGAAAATAAGCTTCTTAAAAGTCTTACTTTAAAGATACAGTTATTTTAATGTAGATTAAAAAATGTCTGTGGTTTATGAGCTGGGTAGTCACACAGGTGTGTTCACAGGTTGTTTAACATTTGTCCTGTGTCAGTAGGAAGAGACTGGGAAAAGTGGGCAGAAGCTATGGATGAGCAGACTCGTGCCTGTGCAAGACAACTTGGAAGCATTGGGAAGTGTGGGATGGACCATAAAAACCCCATCCTCAGCCACTGAAATCTACACAACTTACATCACTGGGCTAGTTTTAGTGCCTAATTGGAAAGGATTTGCAAGTAATGATCCCCAGTGAAGGGAAACACGTTTTGCTGGCCTGTCACCCAGTTGAACTTTTGAGTAACTGACCCAAAGGACATCCCTCCCACCTGAAACCTACCTTGTTCAGATGGCTTAACCCTAGCCACAGCATTTATGGCCAAAGGATGAAAAATTCAGCTGGTTGTGTCCTAGCACTACTGAAATGCTTTGGAAGTGTGGCACCCTCTGTGAAACTTTACTGTACAAAATGCACTATTTACAGTCTAAAAGTCATTCTGATCTTTTACTGATCTGTTTAGTCTGAGTATTCACTTCTAAATGACAGCTGCTAATCAAGATTTCAATTCAGGAAGGCAGTGTCAGCTTCTGTCTTTGTTTAGTTTTTCTCACAGTCTTTATGTAATACCTTCTAGGTAGACCAGCAGTTTCGAAGTGAATTTGACATATTTCCCTCTTCTAATCTATATATTTACAAGACGTTTTTATACAATCTTTCCCTTAAACAGATGATAACAAGCTATGACCTAACCCAGTTGACTGGCACCCAAAAAGAATCCTTGTTCAGTTTCTCTAACACAGTTTTCAGCTGGTTACATGCACTCTGGAGATCTTCTTTCACCAGTACAGTGTCAATTAAATGGCCATACTGCTCTTCAATGAATGCTGCTGAATTAATAATTTCTTGCTGTTCTTCATCCTGCTGATCAACATGAGAAGATGGTATGAAATTTACAGTATGTCTTTTTAATTGCTAGCATTTTAAAGTATATTAGCACAATAAGTCATTTCTTTGAAAGGGAATGAAGCAACAGCTGCTGCCATTAGCAAAGGGTATGTAAGATGTAACAACCAAGATCAAGGAGCGGTGGAACCTGGTGGGCTGTTTCAGAAATGCAAGAGGTGATAGGGAGGGGGAAAATGTGTTACAGGAGGGATTGCATTTTATTAAGCTGGAGTTGCTGCCTAACCTAACACCTGGAAATCATCCTCCTCAAAACCTGAAAAGGAATGCTAGACCCACTGTCTTCAATTTGAGTAATTTTAAAGGCTTACATGAAAATTTACCAGGTGAACTAAGTTCTGTTACATACAAATTCAAGTTCAGGTTAACCAAAGTAATGATGTGTGCTCTTGGTATTTCTATTCACATTTACACATCACCAGTTTGCAGCTGGTCTCAGTTTGGTCCTTTTAAGACACTCGTGTGCTGCATTTTGTGTGTACCTGAGGAACAGCCCAGGTGGGTGGCACTCTGGAGCTATCAGGAGTAGGTGGCTACCTGTACCATTTGATGGGGCTGCTCAGCAGCAACATAAAATTATTATTAGCTTATGGGAGTTCAGTAGGAGCTTCCCCTGCTGCAGTCTGGAGTGATGTACACAGATCCACACTTTGCTTTGTGTTATTTATACAGTCGAGTTTTAAGGGAGTCCAAAATCTCATTCTAAAGTTTCAGCTGAAAGGCTGTACGTGCACAGGGCACCACTCTCACCCTCGCTCCTTTGTACCGTAGAAATGATACCCCCAAAACTTCTTTCATGTCTAAAAAGAAGAGATTAAGGTAGGATACTTACAAGGGGGGATGAGATTTCTTCTGACATGGGAGATTTTAGGGTATGTTTTTTCTTTTCTGGAATGAGAGGCTTCACAAAGATAACGTAAGGCTTGAACTCAGGAGTCCTCAAGTGTTTTACTGCCTGTGAACAGATAATTTTTGTTACACCATTTTAATTTCTTTTGATATGTCAGTGCTCTACTCGAGCTGCGTTCAGTAGTTTCACTAGCACACACTGTGGTGTGTAGCCCTGTGTACTATACATCTGACCACAGCAACCTCTTGCTCTTCAAAAGAAAGGTTAATGTCAGTGTCCTGACTAATTTACAAGACTACATGAGCTTCCTGCAGTGTGGCACAACTGCGTATCATCTCCCTGGCTGTGCATTGCGATACCGGGAACAAGGACATGGCAAAAGAGAGTGAGAAAAGTATAAAAAAAACTTAACAGGCAAGATATGGTTTGCTTTGCTTAGGAGGCCAAACACTGGAAGTGTTAAACCTGGAATTCATCTAAGGTAGTATTACAAATCTTTTTGTATCCTAGTTACAAAATCTGAATCAAAATTTCAAAGGTAACTCCTTCTGGTATACTGCCACTGGTTACAATGCCAGTAAAGCTTCAGAGGCCATAGAAAGGAGTAAGAATGAAAAGCCCATCCGTGCTCTAAATGTTCTTCCAAGGAGGGTCATAGACATTACTCCTACAGCAAGGGACAAAATCCCCCAGTGAGAACTGATCAAGTGTCACCTGTTCTGTATCGGTCGGACGGCTGGAACGGTAAATGCTGCGCCGCTTTCCAAAGAGCCCCATTCCCTTTAGCTACAGTCAGGCCACCCACCAGAAACACAAGTTCTGAGCACATCATTGTTCTTTGCAGAGCAAGTAGCCACAAATGATGAACAACATGGGTTGCTCAGGCTGGCAGCCTAGTAAGAAATGTTTGCTCTCTTTAAAATAAGCTGCAGAACTTACTTCAGGTACCACATCCACCAAACAAACCTTCTTTTTGGCCATCACGGACCGGATTGCCTCAAGACTTGTACCATACAGGTTTTCTTTGTATTCTCCGTGTTCCACAAATCTAAAAAGTCAATAAATTTTTAAATACCATTCACAAAGAATATTTAACTTGCAACATTTGATAGTTGTTTCCTAAAGTCCCTGTAGTCAATGGATGGAGGAGGAAGGGCGGAACAACGGGGGAGAAAAACAAACACAAAAGGGTTTCTTTTTTCTTGCTATTTTTTTTTCCTTCTGGTTGCTTAGTATCAATAGTCATCTTCACATGTCACTAACAGCTAATCACCACTACTGACAAATAGGGGAATAAGCTGCATTAATTCAGTTGACTGATGTTCAAGCCTAATGGAGGATGTTTTTCACAGAAAATAGAATAAAGCTGGCAAGGAAATGGACTCCAAATCTTCCATCTTCTGGGAGACTAACTAAAAAATCTGTACTGTCAGGAAACACACTCAGTCTTACAGAAAGTCCTTTATATTCACAGATTCAGTCTATGTCTCACTTTAAAATGGACTTATGAATAAAACTTGTTACCCATCCTATTAAATGGAGAATAATTAGGCCCAACTAAATATCTATTACTTTCACTAGATTCAATTCTCACCAGTCATAACTACTTCTAATATGCAGCCTTAAATTCTAACTTATAATCCTCCTACTAGTCCTATGTTGTGTCTAAATCTCTTCTTACTAAATTTCTGAGTTCACACTAACAGTCCAGACTGACCATTTTACTTGGAAAGCTGAACCCTCCTCGTACAGCTAGTCTGACCTTACACCTGATTTTGGCATTCATATGATGTAAGATTTAACTTGCAATATTTTTGAAATGCAGTCGATTATGCCAGTATTTTAAAATTAACTCACTTGTTTTGCTGTACATCTGTCTCAAATGATTGCTTAGAGACAAAATTGTATTCTACTCCCTCTCTCTCATGACTTTTCTTTGACCTGGTTGTATCTAGAAGAGAATGGAAGCAAGAAGAGACAGATCAGCCTTTGCAAACAACTATATTTTCTCTGTTCAAGCCTGCATTTTCTCTCTTAAGTTCCAGTCACGTCTTCATGACCTCAAATAAGGTAGTTTACACAGTGGCAAATTCAAATTAACATAAAATATAAATCAAGCATTCTAATTTTGTTTTAAACACAATCTCAAAAATTGTAAGACCAAAAATGAAGTGGTTTTACTCACAAGTGTGCTATAACTAACACAAAAATTAGGAGATAATTCTTACACTTGGTAGAAGCAGTAGAGTATATCCTATGGAAACCAGTATCTCTTAAGTATTTGGAATTTGGACTCTCATTTTCTTTGAAACATAGAAAATAAAAATAGGATGTATATAAAGTCCTATTATGTTTCCTCTGAATTTAGAGGAGGAATATCCCCACCTGTTTTCCTGCACTACTGTGAAACTTGTAATGTGAAAGTTATGTGTCCTTTACCTTTGATGATGTAATTTCTTTATACAATTGTTATTACTGTAGGAGAAGCTTTGGTGATCATTCTACAAATCTATGCTTGACCGTAAAAGTGACATCTGCTATTTTTTGCATACATGTTTAAAGTAAAGTAAAAATTACCCTTTTGAGTTCTACTGCTAACTAACTGAATGTCTGCCTTACAGATGTTTATTGATGTCTTAAATAATACATGAACAGTGTCCTCAGGGTTAATTTTTTGGTACCTTGTTGGGGAATACAAATACAGATGGATTTTTTTCTTCTTAATAATTTTTTTAGAAAACAATCCACCAACAAATTTTCAGTGTAACCCTAGCCACAAACCCATGCAGCAGAATCACTGATTTCTCTATCACTGTGACTGCCTTGTTTGAACAGCCTTGATATACTAATCAACAATTTAAAATCTTTTGAGAATTTTGACTTAGTTTATTGCTGACTACTTTTTTCTTTTTTAAAAAAACTTTAGCTAGTATGATATTCTGAAGAAAAAATCCTCTTTTAAACCCACATAATGTTTTGGCTAAATCTTACAATACTAGTTTTTCACACTAGTTTTTGCAGTTTACAATTCCTGTATTCAGTTTCTCATTTTTTTTTTAATGGACACTGAGAAAATGCAACCTGTTCACCTGGGAAAACACAATTCATAAAAATCAACTGAGTTGACAGAATTCCAAAGTGTGCATGTGCCAAGTTATGTAGTAATCTATTCAGGTATTAAGGGCAAACATAGTATATTACAATGGGAAAAAATATTTTTAAGTACTTCTGAAATATGCATGTAAGTGATAGTCAAAATACAAGTTGCCACTCAGCTATTAGACAGCATTTATGGAATAAAGCAGCGACACACAAAAGCTGGTAAATTCTACTCACGTGGAACGGCAACACCGTACTCCTGCGGGTTCTCTGACACGACCTTCTGCTTGAGCTCACTTAATTTGGCCCCCAAACAACCTAATAAAATAGAAGTGACTGACAGATTTCTGTGTGGAATAAATAATATCAATTTCACACAAATAAGACTATAAAGGAACGCGCTTGAAGAAACCTGTCCGTGAGCGCTCTCATGACCTGCCGCATTCTGCTCTGAAGAACATTATTAGGAACAAACTGAATCCTTGGACAGCTGTATTTGGCAAATATCAGGCAAATATTTGTCAGGCACTAAGTCAGAAAATCTGTAATCTTAGCAGGCAGCTTTATGAGTTACCCTTGATTTCTGTGACATCCTGGGAAGCTGGCTTAACACAAAGCTGTTAAGCGAATTAAAACTGCAGGCAATATTTTGTTAGCTAATTCTACCCACCTTTTCATCAACTGTTCTGATGGCATAACTACACACGTGTTTGAGTGAGAACCAATGGAAAGTGAATTATAAAAATGAGAAATGGTCCTGCATCCTTATTTTTCATGGAATAGTTTGGGTTGGAGAAGGATTGCGTTTTGAGAAGGATTTGGTGAGTTTGGTTGGGTTTTGGGGTTGGTTGGTTTGTTTGGTTTGGTTTTTTTTTTTAAATGATATTTAACAGAAGAGAACTTCTGATCAAAACCAGAAAAACCTTTAAAAAACCACCAGAACCGTAAATCCCCAAACCGAACACCTAAAGAAAGCCTCTTGGAATGCAGGTGATAAGAGAAGAGGGAGATGATACATGAAAAATTTTGAAGCAATTGTGTATCTTACCAATCAAAACCACCAGCCTCTGCTGTTCACCAGGCTGCTGCTGGTATTTTGTAACTTCTTCATATGTGAGGAACTCTGCTGCATCTCCCTGCTCCGCTTGCTTTCCTTCAGGCACATTGTTCTCCTTCTCTTTACGACTTAATCGAAAGCTCCTGCGTAATCCAGCTGTAGAGGAAAACAAAAGATGTATTAAACCATGTTATCACCAAACTTATCTAAATTTTCAAGGTTGTTCAGCCAGAAGTTAATTCTGTCTTTGAATATGAGTTACTCTCACAATTTTTTTTAATGATCAAATCAGTGCACATATGCTAATCTCACAGATGAAAAATTTGCATAGCAGGTAGAAAACCAATAACCCAATGTATGATACAAAAACCCCTCGTATCGCCTTGAGTTGCCAAGTGTTGGCTATGCCAAAGTCCAACTATGCCAATGCACAGAGATAATCTAGTTTATGAATGTATGAGAAATTAAGTCCAATATAAGCTAGTTTTTCTTTTTTTAATATGGGGGGGATTATGATATTTGTTTGCTTGTTTTTTGCGGGGAGGTGTTAGGAAAGAGATTTTGTACTCACCTATGTACTGCCCGTTGAAATATCCTTCACAGTCACAGTCCTCTGTAAATTAAGAAGAGGAGAGGGCACAGGGGAGAAGAGAGTGAGAAGGGAGAAAGGAAATATTTTAAACAGTGCCTGCGATATGAGTCTGGCTCTTGGTGAGGGAAGAAGTTTTATATTCTGCATTGTATCCATGGCTAAGATCAGAGCTATTTTCTGTTGTTGCAGGGAGGCTCTAGTTGCACACTTGTGCTTTGATGGGATATACCAATTACAGCCAGCTAATCATCAAATGGGAATAGTACTTTCAACCCAAGTTGATGGAATACAGATAACTTGAAATATTATTCTCAAGAAGCATTTGCAATGTGAAAAGAAAAGCACATCATGCAGAATTCAACAGAAAATACCTGGAAAGGCGCGTGGTGCAGCCACATACAAACTGCATGAGCTCAACAGAGTTGCTCATAATGAAAATAACACAGAAAACAGTCCAAATGAACGGTGAAGAAAAATCAATTTGGATTGATAGAAGTGCTCTAAAATGTTAAGTCCCGATATTTCTTTATTTTTAAAGAAATACCAGATACAAAGACTGCATTTGTCTTGCAACTCTATCAACCTCACTTGGAAACCTAAATGTGTGTAAATGCATAGCAGAAGACACAAATAGTTCTCTCTTGAATCGGGGTAAATTTGGAAGTTATCATTACCTAAGTCACCAATCCAAATTAAATTAGTTTAAATAATAACACAGGAAGAAACTCCTGTAGGAACAAGTCGTATCTACTATTGCCTTTGCTTGGGGGCTTAGCAGGTGTTTTAGAAAATGCAGTGGTTGTACCTACCTTTATCAGAAGACTGATCATCTGTAGTTAGCATGAAAGGCAGAGTTGATATGATATTAAAACACTGACAATTGATTGAGTAAAATTAGAGAGAATGGAAAGGAAGGTTCTTCTGGTCTGATTTGTTTAACAGGCTTTTCTATCTTAAAAAAAATAATGCAGTAATGTATCCTTATGAACTGATTAAGGACCTTTTTTGGCTAAAATTTAGTATTATACCCAGTTACCAGCTTAAATGTCTTGAGAACGTCTGACAAAAAGCCTAAGTAGCAATCTTCATTACATGCCTCTTAACACTGAATGTAATGGAAATTAATTTGGGAAAGCTTCATTTAAATCAGTAATGCTATCTTAGAATTTGGTTGAGCACCTTCCCTCCTCTTCGTTGCATAAGAATAGCTATATTTCTGTTAGAATACCTGTATCTCTTCATGAGATGTGCCATGTAACATGGGTCAGAAGTTCACTTCTATCACTGAAATGGACAATTTCCAGATTCCCAGTCTACATGAGGGTGGCACTTCTACCACAACATCAGTCTTGGGGCTGCCCCACACATCAGTAATAGCTGAAGTGCCCAAGAGGAACAGGAACATTATATTCTGGGATAATAAAGAATGTCTTCTGCCTTCAATCCCTGACTTGCAATTTCACCTCAAGTAGCAGTTTTTGTGTGAATAATTCACTGACAGAGGCTTCAGAGCTGTAAACATGAATCACTCTAAAGTCTACTTAACACCAGCTCTGTAACACTAAGCCTGAAACACTGCTGCTGCCAGCTCCAGTGATTTTTATCCTCCTTATAGTTTATTTTCGTACCAGCATAGAGTAATTTCATGCACTTATGGAAGAATTTCAAGAAGTGTGCATTGCATTACTTTTGCAGCTTTCAAGTCCCAAACCACAGAAAAAAATGTGAACACTAGTAAATTTTACAGCATCTAAACAATATTTAAGGCCTCACGTTCTGGAAAATGAGAGGAGAGGGACAGACCTGTTTTTTGAAAACAATAGGCACTAATAGTACTGGATAAAGCTCAAACCCAAATCCTCTCACATGGCAGCTTGTATCCATGCAAATCAATGAATGACAGATTACACAAAACATATTCAAACACATCATTATTGAAATAACAGAAATATACCAAGAAGTGGGTATCAACTAAAGAGATCACTGAAGGAACAGAGCAGACTTACATAATGGTTTCTTCACAGTTCTGGGATTCTGCAGAGTGCCTATGGTTCTTCTGTAAGTCAATCGTCTAAATAGAAAGTAATTGTAGTTTAGCCATGTTAAGCTCAGAATTAGAAAGAATTTATAGCATATTATACATACAGCATTGAAAATAAAGAATGAAAGAGTGCTTTTCCTTGAAAAATAGATGACGTCTCTGATTCAACATCTCAAAAGACTTTTTCTTTAAAACTGTGACGTTCCCAGATTGCTACCAATAAATGACTGAGAGAGGAGATTCTAAAACATTTTAGGCTTTCATACATCAAAGCAGAGAATCAATAGCATGTTACTTTTATCAATGTAATTTTTTTTTATTTCCTATTCTATTCTATTCTATTTCTGCTAAGAATCCAACTTCTATTTGCCATTTTTACAAAGGATGGGCAAAATTCCTGTCTGCCACAAGAGACCCCCACCTTCATAACACCAACAATCAGAAGAAGACACACACAGTAATTTGTAGTAAGAATAACACAATGAGAACAGTGGCCTAAATCAGATTCTTTCTTAAATATCATACTTCTGTACTGTAAATACAGGACTTAAGGGATATTCTTGCTTTAGAAGATACATGTATTTTGGTGTAAAACTTCAAGCTCTAGAAGGTACCCAGGTGGAAGCTAAATACTCTCTTATGAGCCAGAAGAAAGACTAGATACACTTTTTTTTTTTTTTTACTACTACATGCATAAATTCAAAATTGTTACGATAAATTAGCATTTCCTCTTATACTATGGAAGTACACATCTGTGAAATATTAAGTCTCTATAAGCCAAGAGGGTAAAGAGATTGATATTCCACATTTCATTTCATGTTTGTTTAGCAAGTGCTTCTGTCCTCATGTCAATGGCAAACCAGCCAAGGAAAGCTAAGACGTTTATTTTATCATTGGAGAAGGTGGAGATTTTTAGCACTTTCCTCTAAGCATCTGGTATTCATCCTGGCGTGATCCTGCCCTTGATTTCCTGGGGAAAAAAGCAGCATAAAAACTGTGACACTGCATGTGTGAAAAAAATTCTGTGATCTTCACTGACAAACCTTTCTTGGAACTGTTTTGAGGGGATCAAGCCTGCCCTGAGGTTGGTATCTCCAACACGCTTTGCTTGCCACCATGTGGGATCATCTTGGCTCACGACTTCCAGGACGTGTCGCCTCTTGAAAGGCAGCCCAGCCTCCTGGCAGGGAATGGCTCTGTCTTCTTTGGGATTATAGCAGAAAAGTGCCCTCATAAACACCTTTAAAAGACAGTAACACATCATTTCTTCTTGTCCTATTTGGAGTTCCAAGCTACCTTTAAAAGGCTTCCCCAATGCTTATACTGCTAACTGTATACTTCATCTCTCCTTTATGCTTTATGATACTCAAAAGTACTGAAACCTAGCAATCTCCTGCATTTTGACTTACTTATGCAGAAAAATAAACTAACTTTGAAGCATATACCTAGTCATTATGTACTGGCACTGTGGGACATGAGACTCAAAGAACAAAGTCTCAAGAAACACAATTCACAGTCTATGTAAGTACAAAATGCAACGAAAAAAGGAAAAAAAATAAGGGGAGGGAGAAATAAAAAAAAAGAGATTTACAGCAGAGTTGCCCAATTATAAAGACTGTCCTTAAAATATTCCTTTAATGCATCAAAATCTACTATTCCACTTTGGATTTGTAGCTTAAAACTATTCAACACATCACAGTAGAACTACTTTTTAAAGTGATTTGAGAGGCTTCACGGAAAAATTTGGCAACGGAGACGTGGAAGCAGAAACAGGGGTTGACAGAGGAATCCTGTAAAGGACCAGCCGACCAGCGAGTCATCGCTGATCAAGAAGGACAAATGAAACTCTTGGAGAGGGACGCTGATGTTGGCAGTGGGCTAATGGGGTCAAATGATGAATGCAGCTCTGTTTGCAAACAGGTCTGCTTTCAATCAAAGCAAGTGGCAATTTGCCCAGAGATAAGGGACAGATAGCAGCTGTCGTGGTGAGAGGAGACTGGCAGGAACACCGATTTTAATTACGTGAACAAAAAAGACTAGATTTCAGAAATGCTATGAAAGAACATGTGCAGATGATGGAGAACTAAGTAATTCTATTGAATAAAACGGCACTGCATTTTACAACAAGAAACTGCTCTACTATCTTTTTAGTTCAAAACACTAAAACTAGGGCACTCCTACTGAAACAGCAGGAATCTTGCATTTACAGAGATGCCAGAATTATGTAAATATGAAAACACACACCAGTGTTTCACTAAGTTCATACCTTGCTGTCCTTTAGACGATCTTCTTCTTTGATGGCTGGAATTATTTTTAATGTTATTGATCCCTGAGACTGAGCCTGAGAAGAAAAGAAATGTTTTCACATAGAAAGCAAGACAAGGACACAATGCAGACTATTCAAGTTCCAGTTTAGGAGCTAGTGTCTGTCTCTTCTTGGAATTTTAATAGTCCAAGCTAATCCACTATTTAACTTCATTACAGAGACTATCAGGATGTGCCACGAATCCTCCACAGCAGCATCTTCCCCCTGGAGACATCCAAAGTAACTACTTGGCTACAACATACAAAGACCTGCATTAACATTCCTTCATTTGCTTTTAGCAACTACATTAGTTTCCGGATTACAGTTCATGGGGCATTAAATGCTCTAGTGTCTTGTAGTGCGACACTAACTTCAGTTTTTGTAGACTAAGTATTTTTAAGTGCTCCTTTGAAAAACATTTCTGCATTTTCCCATGTAGTGGCTAACTTGGTTAGGGTGAAATGTAAACATCTACAAAGTAAACATCTATTTTCACTCTAAAAGTCTTTGCTAGTAAATGAAAAAGCACTTATAGGTGCTTTGGAAATCTAGAAGAGGTTTATCTGATCTCTTTTAAATGCCTTATTTTGGATGAGATTAACTGTGTCCTAGAGAAGCCTGCTATTCTGCACAGATTACAAATGAAACCTGGACAATCAGCTCAGACAAACTTTTGTAGCTCTTCCTCAAAAAACAAACTGTGAAAAGGAAACTATTACATTGCAGGCATTTAAAATGGGACAGATGAATAGCATCCCAGGGTCCCCACAAACAAAACTTTACATGGTATTTCAAAATACGATTTTGATTCTCCTCCCCCAAGTTAAAAGCAGTCATTCTCCTTATTCAGGATTATTTTGATCTAGACTTAAATTAGGTGATTGAACCCGTGACAGTTAGTTCAGTTTATTAGTGTTGCCATTCTTCTTACTGGGTCCCTAACTCCACTCCAAATCAGGACAAGGGGGAACCAAGTCACAAGAGAGGAGTCAGAGACAAATAAGTTGAAGAGCTATGACACCTTCTGCAGTGCAGCAGGCTGACCACAGATGTGAAGGGTTAGAAAGAGCTATGAAGATTTGTAGGCATTAATGTTAGAGAAGCTTGAAGAAAGAATTTGCTAATGTCACAAGGAATCTACTGGTAAAGAACAGACTGACAGCTCTGAACTCACAGATGAGCCTTTCTTCAGCTTCCCAACGTATATATTACGAATAAACCCCTTATCTTCTAGGAACACGCTTTTAATTTGCAATTTGCTTGCCATAAACAAAGCATGAAAGGGGAGTTCTTGGCAGAGCAATATGTAACTTTCTGTTTCTATCTTACTTGGTACCAATTCAGTTTGCAGAAGTTTTTGAAGTCAAAAGGAGAAGACTAATCCACTGCAAGAAAAAACCCTCCTCATGCAAAGACAAGCAAGGATTGCATCTTTTAGCTCTATACATATTTTAAACTCGTAGTTAAATTTCATCATCTGTTGTAAATACTAGATGATTCAACAGAAAAGGTTTTGAAATGAAAATAGGTGCAGACCAAAATCTGACTTATTTCTTCCGGTCGTTTGTGTAGCACAGTAATACCATTGACTTCTCTTAGTTCATCTCCAACATGGACAAGACCTGAAAAAGATGGTAAGCAGATTAAATCTACAGACTGGGAAGCACCACTCCTCTGATGTCCCACCTAAGTCAACAGCATGTCCCTCCTCTCCTCCCTCCCCCAGCTTAATGGCTTTCCTACTAGAGCCAAGTGCCTCTGTTGGCAACGTGCTCTGAAATCTCCTGCCCTTATTCTATTTTTTCATACAGCACAGTCTCACAGGAGACCAGCACGAAGATAGAGAACATGTGGCAAGATACTCTGGAAAATCACTGCTCTATATTTGGATAATCACTAAGAATGCAAAACTGGAATAGTTTCATGAGGATGATCAAATCTTACAGCCTCAGAAGACATGCTGCTGACTGTAAAGGCAGCAATGACACGGCCAGCAACTGACAGATCAACACTACGCAGTCCCAGAAGGAATGTTAGACTTGATCTCTGACAGTTGCCTATTAAGATTTTAATAAGCTGTTACCTTGTTTTTAAATAAAATAACCAATACATCTATTAAACACCAGTGTCCAAAGGACATTTTGGAATTAATAACCATCACATTTAGCTAAAGATTATCACTCTAGGTACGTATATACGGTACATGTGTGCATGCATAACTTTGGAAATTTTAAACCAGTTCACAAACGCAATTTTAAATCCCCTTTTCTTCAGAAACTTACCACTGCGATCAGCTGCGCCACCTCTCATGATCCTTGCTACAATCACAGCTCCTGTGTGCTCATCTCTTCTGATGGTGGCTCCCTGAAATAAAACATACACCCCCCAAAAGAAACCATCATAAGAAATTAGCTTTTAATACAGCGAGAGGTGAAATAACATGTAAGCTAACATGTCTTTTAAACTGGAATTAATTTGTTCTATAAATTTCGTCTTCCTCCTTGACAATTTTCACCATTATTCCACTTTTGCCTGTGCCTGTATCATGTGATGTGGGAAGGTGCATGCCTTCCTTTCTGCTGGCTCTGCCGAGTGCTTAAACTACCTACATTATTGTGATCAAAGTCACTCAACTGTGCAAAACAGAATTTCTTATAAAGAGACTTCTCTATGTGTTATTTAATCTCTATACAGTACAGCTAGCACTTCTACATAGAAAAGCAGGGACAGCCAAGTACTTAGATTTTCTTTTTTTTAGTTCTCCTATCTCTGCTGGCAATATAAAGCTTTAATCAGGAATTAACTCACTGCTCTCTTCTAGTACCTACTGTCATACACAGAAAGCACCTTAGCAGATTTCTTCCCTGATGCACTTGTTTTTTCTTATGAAATCAACTCTTCCATTTCCATTTGTATAAAATGAGTACCTTGTCAATATAATATTTACATACAGCTATCAACCATAGTGTTACCACACATCACTGACTCTGAAGGTATTCATTACTCAAATGTTAGCTACAATATCAAAAGAATTAATATGTATAATAAGCATAATTGTTTCAACATATACAGTTTCCTCACAGATCACACCCTCTGTGTTAATTGGTATCAAAGTTTTATGTTACTTTACTAGCTTCAGAACACTCCTAGTTTTTGCAGACTGATGACATCTTCAACTATCTGCTCCATACACAAGCAACACTTTTGCACTACAGAGTTTCATGACTAGAGATGGGTTCTCTTATACGTACCAAGGGTTCTTTATTCTTCACTAGCCGAACAATTTTCACTGATTCCTCATCAAAATCATCATCAAAGTTGTCAGGTAGAGGTGGAAGGACTGGGTCAAAGTTCTTCTGTGCTACAGTGTCGTGTACTACAAGCATTGCCTGCATAAAGGAAATAAGAGACAGTAACATAATGAGATAATTAAAGTTTCCAGTTCTCGTGTTTCCAACATGACAGCAAACAAACCTCCCTCTCCCTAACCTCACCATGAATGCCCCGCAAAAAAGATTTAGCAATTATCTTACCCATCATGTAAACTATATATATGTGTGTGTATATATATGTTGATATTTTAAAGTAAATCCAGGCAATAACAAAGCTCAGCCTAAATAAAGGTACAGAATGGAGGTGGACTATGGAAAGCAAAAAGCTAAGAAATGGCATCTTTTTCTTCTCCCTCAGAAAATATTAAGGAGGGGAGGGAACACAACACGGTGCTTTATGCCTCAAGGGCCTATGGTGTGTCTTCTTAACCCCCTTTGTATCATAACACACGTGCAGGAAATCACATCGGAATAGAACTACAGTTTGTAGGAGCTTTTTCCTTTCTCTTAGGGACTCTCCAATGTAACTTTTCCATTACAAAAGATTCTATTGGAATTCTGCAAAGGAATTTCATTAAGGTCTCTGGTGTGTTCTTTACCCTGAGATGTGGTGTTGACAACAGCTGAAGTAGCTCTTTTTCTTCATTATTCACCGGTGCAGTCTGCAATTCTTCTATTACCTTTAAAATAAAAATTAACACTCTCAAAATAAAAGGACTCCATCAAACAAGGTCATATATTTGCAACTGAGTGTTTCTGGTGAGTGTTTGCTAACTTCTATCATCCTCCAAAGTAGCATACGCAGGTCAAAAACAAACCAAATCAATAGTGCATAAATCCTAAAAGAAATGAAAGCTTCTTCCTCTATTTTATTTTTATTAGTTAGCGTAGGAAGACATCATCAGAAATCAGAATCCTAGCCTCTAAAAATACATTTTAAAAGTGATTCTGCCAATGTAATTTTAGGAACTAGTTCTGAAATTTTAAATTCTATATGGAATCCATAAGTGATACATCAAACACCACCTCTCTGTAACCAAGTAGCAGAAATGCCCTTGTTCCCCTGCAAAGCCTGGATATCAAAATATGTCCTGGAGTTTCGGGACTTCCAAACAAAAGATCATAGAAATACTGGAAGAACTTTTGCACTAGACTGGTTGGGTGGGAGGAGAGAGAAGGCGGGGAGGGAGGTGGAAGGCAGAAGGGGTTGGGGCAAGAGAGATTTCCTTTCCCTGTAAAGGTTTCTAGATAGGTAAGTGATATAGCCCTGCATAAAGGGGGGACAGAGGGTGTCCTCCAGGTTAAGATGGGGCAGTGGGGTCTCCTGGCTTCGCAAAGGGAGAAATTCTGGATCCCAGTGACATTTTATCTTTGACCTCTCATTTCCTTGATCAATCATGAATGAAACTAGCCAGCAGATTCCAAAAACAATTGGGGAAGATGAGAAATACGTATACATACAGCAGAACTGCAAAGCTTTGATTTGTTAGAAAAGCAAGACTTAAATAGTAGGAAAATAATGAAACAAAGAGTTTTTACTCACATCTTCAACTAATCCTGCTGCACTATGTAAAACAGGAGTTGGACTCTGCCTTTCATAATGACGGAGTTTTTCATGGATCTGAAAAAGATTACTGAGGTATATTACTACAGAGATATAAAACAGATACAAAACTTTGTCAATATATTTACGCTGAAATATTTTTATATTGAAGGAATATAATTTTTCTGAGGTAAGTATCAGAAAAATAACCTGTCTTGGGGTTACTTTTGCCTTTTTTTAGGAGTATTTTTGTTTTGTTTTTGCTAGTTTCGCAGACAGCCAGAAAATCTGTTAAGACTTCAGTAGCAGAAAGGAAAAAATGAAGCCATCTCACACTGCTGTTTAGGTCAGGGCACTGTATCTGCATTTTGGCAATGAAGGCAGAGATGTTTTTTCTGAACAAAATGTTAATTGTCAATGAATGTTCTTAATACTTGTGCTTAAATAAATACATGGGTTGGTCAGTATAGAATTCTACCAGAACAAACAAAAAAAGCTTTGGCAAAGTAAACAGTTGATGAATCAAGGGAACAGAGAATAAGTAACCTGTAAGGAAAATATATGTTCATAAATGAACTTTTACCTTCATCAAGTAGCTGAGACTCTTCTCACTGAAGACATCCCTAAGGAATCCCATTTCCTCTTTGTGATTTGAGTCCGGTCTTAGCTGAGATGTCAAAAGGGCCAAAGTTTCATGCAATCCTAAATTTAAATTCAAGACAGAACAAAAGCTTTGTAGATGGCATGTCTCACAGGATCTCCTATTGCAGCCTTTTAACATCAACTACATTTAATTGACTACCATCTTGGTGATCATTAAGATTGCAGAGATCTGTGCTTATCTTCCACTCATTTTGCAATGCTCCCTTCTTAAGTGGCAAACACAGTGTAAGATGTAAGATATATCATATTAAGGGGGCAAGTGGGATGGTTGAGCCTGGAGTAAAGGAGGTTGAGGGGGGTCACTGCTCTCTACAACTCCCTGAAAAGGAGGTTGTAGTGAGGGGGGAGTCGGTTTCGTCGCCCAAGTAAGAGGCAATAGGACAAGAAACAGCTTCAAGTTGTACAAGGGGAGATTTAGACTGCACGTTAGGAAAAAATTCTTCACCAAAAGGGTGAAGCATTGGAATAGGCTGCCCAGGGAAGTGACTGAGTCACCATCCCTGGAGGTATTTAAAAGATGTGTAGGTGTGGTGCTTCAGGACATGGTTTAGTGGTGGTTTGGGCAGTGCTGGGTTAACAGTTGGACTCAATGATCTTCAAGGTCTTTTCCAACCTAAACAATTTAGATGCTATGATTCCAAGACAAAAGCTACCAAAGCATTATATATTTTTAAAGACATTACTTTTGAAGTTTCTCCCTTCATGTTAACTACCCTTTGTTTCTAGAACAGTTAGCCCTCCAACAAACCTTGAGTTATTAAAATCCCACAGCAGAGTTGCAAAATGACTGAATTACCTCCTTTTTTGCACAGCTACCAGCCCTATTTCCCAAGCAATTTTGCTTACAAGTGTTATCCTGCCCTTCCTAGCTCTGAGGCACTCTGAAGTCAGGTCTGACCACAGGAGGAAAGGACTGGTGAAGATTTTCCCTGTGATAGAAGCAAAGCCGTGGCAAGTTTTCTAAAAAGTGCTTAAATCAATATCCCAATTTAGCAGTACAAAGGGCCAGACAGATGTTAGGTTTCTGTTAGGTGGACCACACATGCACCAAAAAAAAAAAAAAAAAAAAAAAGAGGATGTGTGGGGTGTGTGTGTCAAAATCTGCTCTTTTGGCTATTTGCTCCATGAATTTTAGAGTGCATTGGATCCAGGAGGCTCAAACTCACTTCTGCTTTAAAACTCAGTACCATTAGCCTATATGACTTCACTCTGGGTAGCATACTCCAGAAGCTGGTTAGCAAGCTTCTTGAATGGAATCACTGGGGTTTTTTAAGTCAAAAGGAAGAATATTAACAAACTTTACCAACACTTTTGCAGAAAATATTAGAAATGGCACGGCAGAGATCTTTACTAAGCATGTGTAGAAGCCAGTGTTATACTGAGAGGTCCAAGTTTGTTCAAAGGAGCCTGTCTACCAGCATATATTCAGGGGCCCTAGGATTCTTATGCAACTAGGCGCTTCCTGAAATCTAACTTTATTAATTTCAACCTTTTCTATTACACCTTCCTTGTTGGCTTTTAGGTAACTGCTAAGAAATCTAGTTGAACTGTCTTAATTCTATTTTATTTAACTCCATTTGAATTCATTTCCTGTGTGAAACACACATACACTGAGATTTCAGTCACTGGTCTGTCCAAAGCATGCAGATTAGTTACCTGAGTCTTCCGAAAGCACTGGCATGGCTTTGTTCTTAATCTTTGAGACAAATGTTGAACTTAAATCAACACGATTGTTTCTTCTTTCTGGACTGCGATTCAGAGGCAGTCCTGAAATGAGCAAAGATAATATCTAAGCTCAAGCATGTGAGAAAAAATGGCAATCATGTCAAAATAGTAAATTCCTAGTACACGTGTCTCTCAAGTGTTGTTTAACCTGAATCAGGCAGAGTCCTGCAGTTATTCTGCTACGCAATCAACATGAAAAATATTATGTTATATAATAACCATATGGTATCTTGGATAAAGCTGATGTTGATGAGAGCAGATGTTTCCTATTCTATTCTCAAGACAGACAGTTTTACAAGGCCTAAGTAACCTGTCTAAAGATACAGAAAAGAAAAAAGCACGCTGCAAAATGGATGTCTAAAACCAGCAGTAAGCACCATTTGCACAGAACTAGAACTAAGGATGCTACAGAAAAAAAAAGGCTACTTCCATTGCTCAAAAATTCCATTATATGCTGATTTTTCTTGTCACCAAGAGCAAATGACTCCAGAGCAATTTCAGTTCAAACTGCAAAACTGAATCTATGCTTATAATCACTAGTCTGAGATGAAACACTTTGTGTGTTCCAGGGCATTTAAAATCTCGTTCACGTTCACAAAATTCATCAGAGTAATGCTTGCAGAAAACTAAACAGCCATAACAACATACAAGAAGGGTTAGAATGATATGTGGGATACTCCACCTCTTTGCTAAATGCAATAAAGAATGTTCCTTGTGTTTCTATCTGTAGATAAGACTGATACTTTGATAGCATGACACAAGTTTGATGGTTTTCTAGTTCAACTTCATTTTGATTAGCTGCCTGAAAGTGCATCACAAGTTAGCATATACCAATTTAGCCTTTTCTAGATTCCTGAGTTTCTCTACAATGTACTGAAATATTAAGCTCAACAGTCACCTGTGGTTTAACACCCCTTATTTTCTACTGCTATGCTTAAGTAGCCCACCTGGGTATCAGAACATAATTCTCTAAGAGTTATGTTTTCTCAGTTCTCTATGCAAGTGAACTGAGAGTGCTGAAATTTCACTCTAATCCATAGATTGTGCTCAAGTGTATTACATACACTACACATTTATTTAATTAATTTTCTAAAGCATTTTTATTACCCATTGCTTTGCAGAAATAAGTATCTCACATCCACACTTCATGCCAAAAGAAACGCATTGGCAATTCATCCAACCGCTCTGGTTCCTTGACTATTGCCTTTCATTCGACATGTATTTAAATCTTCTCTAATTATCAAGAAAAGGAACTTTTTTGCATGTTCTTTGTAAGAATGCATACTTCCCGCAGTCAAACTTATTTAGCACCAAAACCCAAGAAAACCCTAGTTATTTCCGAGACTCTTAGCAAAAAAAAAAAATCAAAATTAAGACCACCCCAGAGGCATTTCCCATGTTCTGTGAAAATCCTGTTAGCCAGGACTTACTGGAACGAATAATCAGAATAATAAAAAGCATTCTGTATCCAATGATCTGTTACCAGCGTGTTCCATATCAATACTCAGGGCTACCTTCAAGGTATTAAATTCAGCCCCAGCACGTGGCATTTTGCTAGAGGGGCCCAACACCACAAATCTGTACGAATAGGCTCAAATACAATTTCCTCCTTAAAAATATCTACCCTAAACCATAATTCATTTTTCACTCATATCCTTGCCCAGCTGCTCCTGAGACAGAGTGTTTGAGCCACCTTCCCTGACTACGAAAAGGACTGTTCGTATTTGGATAGGGCTAAATATACTTAATTAATGCTGTAACTGGAATCAAAGGGGATTAAACAGAAGCATAATATGCTTTGGCATATCCCCATTACCTTAGAAAATAAACCTCGTGTCTTTCACAGCCTAATACAACAAAAAGCTTCAGTAATCCACATAAATTGGTGAAAGCAGTGGCATTTTAACATCTTTCCAGGGCAAGATCACCCCAGTGACTTGGTATAAAAATGCGTATGCACACTAGTAAGGCCACAGTTGATAGCTACAGCACGGATTTCTCCTCACGTTGCTTTTTTGTACAAGAAGTGTCCAAATCAGATCGAACTAGTCCTTTGCCGGGTACTATGCCTGCTTCAGCACCAAGGAGCGACGGCTCCGACGGCTGAACGGCGCAGGAAGGAGGCCTCACCTCACTCCGTGTTCGGCCCCGCGGGGAACCGGCTCCGAGCCCCCCTCAGGCAGTCCCCCGACGCCACGGCCCCCCCGGGGGCTGGCGGGCAACCCGAGGGGCGCTCCCCCTGTGCTCCGGGCGGACTCTCCCGCGTCGGGGACAGCTTTCCATGCGCTCCATGGAGCTCGGGCACCCGCGACTGCCGAGGGCAAGGCTAGCGCGGCCGACCCCTCCTCACGGCCCAGCCTCGGGCCAACGTGTACGGGCCGAGGTTAGGCCCCGGGGTGGGCTTCCTGCACGGCGGCAGCGAGACGCTCTCTTCCAGACACACTTCCCCAGCTACGCGGCATCTCTCCAGCCCCATCTCCGCCGACCCGGAGGACTCCCCAAAGCCCGAATCCACCATCGGACCCTCAGGCTCCCGTCGCGCCGGGGCCCGCGCCTCGAAGGCAGCGTCAGAACTCGACTCGGCCCGGCCCTGCCACGCCCCGCCCCGCTACAAAATGGCGTCGCCCTGTCCGCCTCTGCGGGGACGGAGTCGCGCCGCGCCTCAGGGAGCAGCGCTGCCGCCGGGCGACCGTTACCTGAGGGTGCGGGCCCGGCTCCCGGGCCCCCGCGGTGCTGTCTGCCCGCCCCGCAGGCCGCAGAGCAGCTCCCCGGCGCTCTCCTCCCTCTAAGTCCGCTGCACGCCTCGCTCATGCGCCCTCACAGCCCTCCTACGCGCCGCCTCCCTCCCTCCCCCGATCCGCTCGGGGCCTTGCGGGCGGCAGCGGCGGGAGCGGGGCGGGATGGAGCCCGCCCGGCTCGTTGGGCACCGCTGGCGATTCGCCGCGTAAACCGCAGCGTGGGGTCGGAGGGGCAGCGTTCCGCCGGACCGGGTGACTGCCGGCTCCGGTGCGGGGTGTTGGCACCGAGATGGCGGCCGTGAGGGAGCAGGGCCCGGGCTCTCGCCGCGGCCTGGGCCTGGCAGAGCCCCGTGTGTGAGGGCAGGGAGCCAGTGTCGATGGTGGCCAAATGCACGGATCTGGTCGCCAGGCTGCTGCCGGCTGTGCGTTGGTGGGAGACTGGAAGGAGGATACTGCAGGGGCTTTCTGGATTTTTTTTGTAGGGGGGTTTATCCAAACTCTTTTCAGTGGTTCCCAGTGAAAGGACGAGGGGCAACGGGCATAAGTTGGAATATAAGAGGTTCCACTTAAATATGAGGAAAAACTTCTTCCCAGTGAGGGTGGCAGAGCCCTGGAACAGGCTGCCCAGGGAGGGTGTGGAGTCCCCTTCTCTGGGGATTTTCAAGCCCCACCTGGATGCTCCTGAGTGATGTGCTCTGACAAGCTCTAGGCAATCCTGCTTCAGCAGGGAAGTTGGACTAGATGATCTCTATGGTCCCTCTAGGGACCTCCAAAGGCCATCTACTCTGACTCCCCCGCAGTCAGCAGGGACACCCCCAACTAGACCAGGTTGCCCAGGGCCTCATCGAGCCTCACCTTGAATATCTCCAGGGAAGGGGCCTCAACCACCTCCCTGGGCAACCTGTTCCAGTGCTCCACCACCCTCACAGTAAAGAACTTTCTCCTAATGTCCAGTCTAAATCTGTTCCCCTCCAGCTTGAAGCCATTTCCCTTTGTCCTGTCACTGCAGGCCTTTGGAAACAGGCTCTCCCCAGCCTTCCTGTAGCCCCCCCCCCCAGGTACTGGAAGGCCGCTATTAGGCGGAGAACTAATAATAATAACGGATAATTCTTATTTCTTTCAAATGCCTATTGAGGATTGGCATCTTCGCGTGCCTTTATCTAAGAGCTGACCTGTCTCGCGATTTCCTTTTAAAACCCCCGGTGCTGCCGGCAGCGGGGGCCTCTCGGCGGGTGACGGGCCGCGACGCGCCGCCCCTCACATGGTGATTCTCGCCTCCGGCGGGCCCAGCTCCGCCAGCGGGGTGTTACGACATCTGTCACATCATCATCATCATGATCATCATCATCATCATCATCATCATCATCATCATCATCATCATCATCATCATCATCATCTTCATCCTCTTCGCTCAGGGGTGTCTGAGCGCGGAATGAGGCGCTGAACCCCTCAAAGGGCCCAGCAGCAAACAGCGCGAGCCCCGCCCCGTAATGCCTCGCGCCGCCCAGCCCCGCCCCGTGACGCCCCGCGCGAGCCCCGCCCCGTCAGTGTCGCCCCGGCCCCGGTCCCGCCGGTCGCGCCGTGAGGCGTCCGTTCGCTCTCGTCGCCAGCCGCTTCGCCCGTGCTGTCGGTGGGCGATTCCCGCTCTGCCGGGCGTCCGGGGGCAACCTGCTCCCCGGGGACCGGTGCTGTGCGCGGAGGCTGCTGCGCGGTGCCGCCGTCCCGCCGCCGTCTCCTCCCCGCCGCCGATCTTCTCCCCGCCGCCGCGGAGGGCCTCGTCAGCCGGCGCAATGTCTGTCCTGCGCAGGAAATTTGGGGACGAGTACCAGGCGGTGGGCCCGGCGTGCGGCGGCGGCGGCGGCACCACCACCCGCAGGGAGCGGCAGCGCTTCGTGGATAAGAACGGGCGCTGCAACGTTCAACACGGGAACCTGGGCGGGGAGAGCAGCCGGTACCTCTCTGACCTCTTCACCACGCTGGTGGACCTCAAGTGGCGATGGAACCTGCTCATCTTCCTCCTGACCTACACGGTCGCCTGGCTGGTCATGGCCTCCATGTGGTGGGGCATCGCCTACCTGCGAGGTGACCTGCACCGGGCGCACGATGACGCTTACAGCCCGTGCGTGGCCAACGTGTACAACTTCCCCTCTGCCTTCCTCTTCTTCATAGAGACCGAAGCCACCATTGGCTACGGACACCGCTACATTACCGAGCGCTGCCCCGAGGGCATCGTCCTCTTCCTCTTCCAGTCGCTGCTGGGCTCCATCGTTGATGCCTTCCTCATTGGCTGCATGTTCATCAAAATGTCCCAGCCCAAGAAGCGAGCCGAGACCCTCATGTTCAGCCGTACTGCGGTTGTTTCTCAGCGGGATGGAAAGCTCTGCCTCATGTTCCGGGTGGGCAACCTCCGCAACAGCCACATGGTGTCTGCCCAGATCCGCTGCAAGCTCATTAAGGTGAGGCCTGATGCCTGGTGGTGGTGGGCAGGATGGGGCACCTGCATCACAGTGGGCTAGTGCAGGCAGGGCATAGGGCAAGTACAACCATGTACCCATAGTGCAGGCAGCTTGGAGCTTCCCCTGTGCAGCTCCTGCTGCTGTTTGTGGGTGGCTTTGCCCTGTCCTGGGGACAGCTTCCCTGTCTCTTGGCGTCTCTTGTCTCTTGGAGCTTCCCCTGTGCAGCCCTTGCTGCTGTTTGTGGGTGGCTTTGCCCTGTCCTGGGGACAGCTTCCCTGTCTCTTGGCATATGGGTGAGTGGATGTGGCTGGGGAGGGAATCACAGAATTATCTAGGCTGGAAGAGACCCTCGGGGATCAAGGGCTTCAGAGAAATTTGCTGTGGCTGCCTATAGTGGGAGCTACGAAAGAGCTCCCGCTCTATCCGTGCTTCCCAAAGCACGGATAGGGGAAAAGGCTGTCTCATCAGAGAGCTCCCAGAGGCATCCCAGTGGATTTTGAGGCTCGCAGGAAGCCGCTGTGGTCAGGAAGGAGGGATGTGTCAGGATACAGGATAGCTGCAGGGAGGGATACTAAGGCATGCCCCTTAGGATGTGGCAGCCGGGAATAAGAAATTGATTATACCCATTTTGTGGTGATATTAAATTAGGACAAAGATTAACCTTGACCTCCTCTTCCCCGTGGGGAAACTTGAGGAGCTTTAACTTGCACTTCTTTACCCCATGGTTCCGGCCAGTAGCCTCCCAGCGTTTCAGAGGGATTGTGCAGGTGCTTTAGTGGAAATGACCTTTGATTGCCACTGATAGCTATTTATCAATCACTGACAACGGTTTGCATAATTCAGAATGCAAGAAAACTGGAATTCAAAGGGGATCATAACCAAAAAAAATAAATAGTCAGGAGACAATAAGTTTGGCAAGCACCGAAGTCTGAAGAGACATTGGGCAGGAGTGGAATGGAAGGAAAACACTGCGTGCAGCGTGAAGCAACGTAGCAGCTCAGAGCAGCTATGTCTTGTCACGGGAGCACGCTTATTGGAGAGCATCACAGGCTGGATCCCAGTGATGATGTTCATTTCAGAATATAATATTTGAATGTTGTAAATGTTCTCTATGGTAATTTACTCTTTGGAGCAGTTTGGCCGTTTTAATTACCTGCAGAAACAAGCATGATACAGTAGGTGATGGGACAATGGTAAATGCGAAAGGCTGTTTTCCTTCTGTGCAGAAAGCTTGACTGAACTGTTAATTTTTCATGCTGTAGAATACCATTTAAAATGGAGAATCTGCTAAGATTCAAAAGAGGTTATATATATATGGGAACAAGCTGTCAGAAGTTACAATGGAGCAATTTTTGTAGGAATCAGGAAGCTGGCAAAACCATTTTTCTGTTGACCTCTAGCTATTAATTAGCAGAAAACCTCCTCTATAAAGTATTTAATTCTGTCCATCATCCAAGACAGAATGCAAGTCAAAGTGGAATAAAAGCAGTGTCACAGTTGTGGTTTTAGTGATAGTAATTTGCTATAAACTTGTTTTGAAATAAGACACCGAGCACACAATGTAGTGTGCTTTCTGCTGACAATTCCATTGCTACACAATGCTGGTGTGCAGATGGTTGGGACAGAAAACACAGGGACATTTGATGGACCTGCTTCACCAATTGGTCTTATGATGGCTGTTTCATAGATTAGACAATGAATCAGTGAGTAACACTTGATTTCTTTCAAACGATCATCATGCCCATGACTTGTTTTCAGGCTACTTTGCAAGCTTTGGTAAATATAAGCTATAGACACAGGAAAGTTTAGAAGAGAATGTCTGTGTACTAGCTGCCCTCTCAGTCCTCATTGCAAGGCGTGATATTAGTTCCCCTGTCTTTCTGTAAATCCTCCTCAGTTTGCTGAGGTGCCCCTTGGACTGGACACATTCCAGCAGCCATAGTGGCCGTTCCAGCAGTGTGTGAATTTACATCAGCTGCTTTCAAATATCTTTGTGTGCCCTGTAACCCCATGGTGAATGTGTTGGAACTGGCTAACCATTTATCTTGAGTGAGTTCTGCTGTTTTGTGATTTGTGCTCTTTCCTCTGTGCTTTGTACAATGCTGTTGACAGCTGATCTTGCTGCACTTCTCCTGTCCCCGATTAGATAGCTAGAATATTTTTTAAACTTGTGTCACAGTGAAAGAATGTGAAGAAATATGTCTCTTATCACAGTTTTGTACTTGATAGGAGCCATATTTAGTAGTGAACATGGTGTTTCAGTGGGACCAATGGAGCCCTGAGGATTTAGATTTGTAAAGAAAGTACACCAATCTAAGTCTGTCTGAGTGGCATTTACTGAAAGTGTGATATATGCCCTAGGATATTCGGTAGATTATAGTGGTGCCACCACACTGGGCTTCAGGTGTACGTCGCTACCAAAACCCCATGCAATTCTTTAACAGCAGTATCGAAGGAACAAGTTTGTATTAGTTCAGTAATGTAATACATAATAAATGTTCTCGCAACTTGCTAGTCTAAGAGTGGGACAGAAGTGAGATCAAGGGTTTTCCTCTCAAATACCAGAAATGAAAATACCATAGTACTGTATGGTGAATTAGCACGTACCAGTTTAGCATTTTCTAGATTCCTGGGTTTCTCTACAGCATACTGTGATACTAAGCTTGATGATTATCTGTCTTTTGCATCCTGCGTTTTCTACTCCAATGCTTAATTAGTCTACCTAGGTATCAAAACATCTTTATGTGAGTTCTCTAAAGTGAACTGAAAGCAGGTTAATAATAATAAAACTGTGTTATCTCCGGTTCAAAAAGTATGTGCGTAAACAACAGGGTTTGGAAAAGCACTGAGAATGAATAAAGGGTGGGAGCAAAGACTCAAAGGGCATGAAATGTTTGCTCAGACACAAAAACAGACCAAGTGATTATGCAATGGAAGTCTGCCTAGTAATAAGAAACAAAACAAAGATCCAGTGGCAGAAAGTTAAAGGTGGAAAAATTCAGACACAGAAGGAGTCTTTTCTTTTTTTCTTAGGTGCAAGGCAATTAACCTTTAGAGCAACTAATATAGACCTTTGGATTCTCCATCTTTGACCACATTTAAAATGAAAGCTGGGGCATTTTTAAGTAATTGTGCCCTTATTCAAGCATGTATTAATCTGCAGGATTTATTTGGCTTTGTGTTATGTGGGTGATGGAAATAAAGAATCACAAGTGTTCCTTCCATGCTTATAGCTGACAGTTTATGTCCCTGTTCAATTAGGGCTTAATTCAGATTAATTTCTTTTTATTTAACAAATAAGTTCAAAAATTCTCCATGCCCTGCATAAATCAGTCCTGTATGTAAGATACCAAGTACCTCAAACACAACCTTTTGCTTTCTCCCAGATCTGTTACCTCTAATCATCCTCGCTGGATTTGTTTACTATTGAGCGGAATTGATCGAAGCTTCTTCCACAGAGAAAAATGGTTTGTAGATGAAACACATTCTTAAGTCATTCAGGCAGCGCTTTGTGCAAATGTGCACATTTTCTGTCTAGGCAATTGTATTTGATTAAACTTTTGGAAAATGTCAGGTTTAGATACTGGTTCATACAGCTCATGCAGAGCCTCATGATCTCGGAGCAAAGATCACACGTTGCCAACCAATTTGGGTGCCCACAGAAAGAACAGCAGCCAGGCAACAAAAGCAGTGGTGTAGCCTGCAGCTTAGTGCTGCAGGTTCCTGCACAAAAAGAGAAAGGATGTTTTTGCAAGTAGTTTGATTATACCTGTGCATATAACAGAGACTATCACGATTGCTTTTAATTTATAGCACTGTCTTTTACCTTTCGAAGCACAGATAATCCATGAGAATGCTTTGACAAGCAATCAGCTGATATTTTTCCTTTCCCTGTCCTCATCAATGATGGACAGACTGACTCCTGTGAAAGGGAGAACCTGGTTATTTAGGTAGGAAGAATTTTGGTTTTCCTCAGCAGAAAGACAGACACATAGCACATAAATGAAATCATGTGTTGTGTTTAATAAGGAGCTGTACTCTGCCAGCTACCTAACTGCGTATGTAATCACTAGTAAATACCATGCAGTTAAAAATTCAGCATTTTTGAGATACAGGTGAAGCAGAGAGACAATCTGAAGGCACACTAGTTGCTTAGGAATTTTTTTTAAAGACCAAAACTTTCTTAGAAGAATACCAATCAGATCTAAGTCAATGGGAAAACTGCAAGCTTCGGCTTGCTCTCAGGACTGATGAGTAGTTTCCAAGCAATGGAACCAATACATTTGTCAATACCAATGCAACAGAGTTAAAACTATTTAGTAACTATGGAATAATGTATCATTTCTAATCAGTAGTTGTCCTCTTTAAAGAATTAAGTGCTTTCTAATAAGCAATAAGGAGAAAGGATTTTAACTAGACTTTGCAAAGCTTATCATTTTAATGGGCAGTTTCCACCAAAGACCTTTTGAACAATCAGCTGAGGTGCTGCCAGGGCCAACTGATGTAATTTTTAGTTATACTTTGAATACCAGGAAAATTTTTTGGGAACACTATGGGGTGGGGGGAGGTTATCGTATCAGCATTTTTATTGGACCCATGAAACGATGTGGATAAAAACGGGCCACTTAGCTTAATAATGATCATAAGTTCATTATCAAAATCAACCTACAGTAGGTGGTACATGCAAATTGGCAAGAGATAATAGCATTGTTAGTAACAATTCAGATAGTTTTGTGGAAATGTCTGTTACCAGACGTACTGTACAATTACTGTGATGCTTACCTTTGAGTTTGTGTCCACCAAAGAAAAATTAGTAATGTATAAAAATAACAAATATTAATTCAGGCAATGTGCCTGTCTTGTAGATTTTGTTCTCATTATTGGGAGCTTTTTGCTGCAGGACGTTCATGATGAACATCCGTTATGAGGTGTGTAGTGGGGTACCCATGTTTTAAAAAAAAACATAATATGTATTTCATAGTAAAGTTTGTAGATTATGATGAGTGGCATAGTAAGAAATGTCAAAATTGGTCCTATATAGTATCCTTATAGTATTTAGCATTACTTGTATCTCCATCATGAAGACCCCAGATCTAATATGTAGATGATAATGTTACGAAAGAGGCATGTTTAAACTTCATTGCCTTGCTTTTCATGTTTTGCCTCATACAGCAATTACTAAATCATCTTTTCATCTTTAGTCTCGACAGACACCGGAGGGAGAATTTCTGCCACTAGACCAGTGTGAACTGGATGTCGGATTTGGAACTGGAGCTGACCAGCTGTTTTTGGTTTCCCCATTAACCATCTGTCATGAAATTAACTCAAAGAGCCCCTTTTTTTGTCTCTCTCAAAGATCGCTCAGAAGCGAGCAATTTGAAATAGTTGTCATCCTTGAAGGAATCGTTGAGACTACCGGTAAGATTTAGAATAATATGCATGCTCTAATTTTTAGTCTTTGTTTTTCAGTCCTGATATTTTTAGCGAGGCAGCTGTTAATCCTTTCAGGATGCTAATCCTGTATGCTCCAGAATATTCTGCCATACAGGGCTTCAGTGGCCTTTACCAGCCAACCAGCCCTTCCCCACAGGGCTCTGCGTTACAGATGCCCAAAGCGGCCGACACGTCCAAGAAGAGATGCACCCTGACACTCTTTGAGTATGGCATGCAGAGTACAACACCCTTAGGAGTACCTTTTTTTAGATTCTGATACAGTGCTGTCCAGGTGACAGCTGACTTTGTGGCCTTGTCTTTTGAGGACTTAATTCTTTTTTGAATCCTGTGACAATGCACTGCAGTTACGTACGAAGCTCTGCGTCGAGGATCCATACATGCTGGTGAAGTCCAAATCTTTCTGTGCGTTCATCAATATTCTGAACTTCCTCTCCCTTCTTTTAAAGATTTTTTTTTTTTAACTTTGATTAATCAAGGAGCACTTTCATCCTTCTTTCAACAAGATTACCGGTTTACAAGTAAATTTTATTACAAGTGAATTTCATGCATCAGCCTTACCTATTTTTTGTTCGATGTGCCTTGTTGTCTGCTTGCTCACGTTAGTGTGTCATGTTCTTGTCTCTGTTTCTGTAGGAATGACGTGTCAAGCTAGGACCTCATATACAGAAGATGAAGTTCTTTGGGGTCACAGATTCCTCCCAGTAATGTCCCTAGAAGATGGCTTTTTCCGTGTCGATTATTCTCAGTTTCATGCTACATTTGAAGTCCCCACTCCTCCTTACAGTGTTAAAGAGCAAGAAGAAAACCTGTCTCTGTCATCTCCTTTGAGTAGTCCTGCTGATAATAACAAAACAAGAAGAGAACAGGTTTGTTCACTTCAGTGTATTGATATTGCAGGAGAGAAAAACACACTCCCTTTTAAACTTCAGAAGATTAGCTTGAGAAAAGAAGACTTTCCAAGAGGAGCCCTGAGAATGAGTTCCAGTAACACAGAGAAGACTTGCAGCACCGGAGATCTCTTGAAAATTCAAGAAATAAGTCCCATCTCTGACAGTGAAGACAGTGATGACAGGATACAGCTGAAAGCTTTAAAAATAAATGCCGGGGCTTTGACTCAGTCCACTGGTGATCTCGAGTTACAGAAGAACCCTCCAAGTATGTGTGCTCTAGAGATGAAATTTGAATTTTCCTGCCAAACTTTGAAAAACAAACTCTGATCGCCTCTCTTTAGAGCAGAAGCAACAGGAGTTGTTGTTGATAAACTGCATTCAAGACTGCTGACCTGAAAGAATTGTCTTACAGTAGTGTCATAATTTGGTTTTGCCACTTTCAGGAAGAACGATCCTTTTTGTATAATGGCTCTGTACAGATCCAACTTAGGGAGCGTAATAGGACTTTGATGGCCAGTAATGGACTGTCATGCCAAAGAGATGGATGCCTAATGATGTTTTTTGGCATGCTCATTGCAAATCTACATTGTCTTCCATACAGGCAGATGCTTTTTCACGAAGCAAGGACCAGATCCTTAGTTGCAGAGTGAAATGTTCGGACATCGAGCCAAAAAGGGTGTAAAACCAGCTGAAACACAATTTTGTGTAGCTCAGATCTTTGACTGTTCCTAGTGTATAGAAGAACACAGGAGAATCTGTGATGCTGCTTGGTTGTAGCCTGGTTCTCTCCATAACCCTGTTCAAAGGTGGCCTCCTTGTGCAGCCTGGTGGCACACATCCTTCTTTCCCAATGATCGTGGCATGCCAGCTCTGTGCCCTTAGAACCCCATTTGTTGTCATTCAGGTAGAGGAAGTGGTTTGCAAATTTGTGTCATTCGACTCAACACAAGCTCTCATAAACACGGGGATCATTTGTTCTCTCCAGAATTAGACCCCAGCATTCAATCAGGTGGATCACATAACGAATTTTAACAACCATTGGCACGACTCGCTGTGAAGGGAACTTGAGGTGGGTAGCACAATTTAATGGTATGTCTCATACCTCGACTTCATGAAACTTTAGTTTGGAGACTCCTCGTAAGTAAATAAAAACACATAAAAGCAAAGTGCTAGATAATGATCGATCATTACAGGAATGGACAGTAGTATGTACACATCTCAGAGTTTTATTAATGAATGGTAAGGATCTTTGATGTTGCACTCTTATTTTTTTTGGGTTACATTTGCCTTCTCTATTTATGTATGATTCTCTATACTTTTATAGAGTTGACATTTACAATATTATGCAATTTATTGCAGGGTAGAACTCTGTTTTAATATAGATATATTAAAGTGCTGGAAGAAAAGGCAGCACAGGTCTGTAACGTGTTAAGTGTGCAGCTGAGGGGGTTTTCATGTTTTTGAGCATTCTCTCAAAGTGCTTCTGCCAATAATGGTGATTTACTTTCAATTGGTGAATAAATATTTTAGATGATCAGTCCTGGAATATCCAACCTTATCTGTAGAAATGACCAAAACGATGTCAGCGTAGATTTACACAGAGCTGTTGGTATTTTGTTATTCGGTATCTCTTTAAAGTGTCATACAGTTTTCTAAGTGACTGGCCTTGAACAAGAGGGGAAGAACCCTCTTCTATTTTTAAACCAAACTTTGCTTAACTGAACTAGTGTTGGATCATTGGGAAATGGAGAGAACTAGATTTTGACTTTCTTAGATTGCCTGGGGTTCTACAACTGAGAATAATTGCATTACTATTCAGCTATTGTGCTGTCCATCTCAACCTGTGAAAGTGGGCTCTTTTTTTTTTTATTATTTCTTTTTTCTTTCCCCCCAGTTGTTAGTGAGCAAGTATAACAACTTGAAAAGAAACTGTTTTGTAAATTATGATGTTTTAGTTGCTGGTTGGCACCAGTGTACAGGGTGCTTATTTATCACTAGCAGAGCACTTCCCAACAGAAGGATCAAATTCTGCTCTTGTTACACGGACAGAGTTCAGTCAAATTTAAAAGGGGTTGCTGTGGCCATATCAATTGTCAGTGCATGCCTCCATGACTAGAACAGAGAGGTAAAGTGGTACATCCAGGCCAGGGATGGCTTGGCTTGTGTAAATCATTTCTTGCTTTTGATTTCCTGCCTGTGGTGTGAAACTGGAAAGTAGTATTTTGCACAGGGGTAGGATTTGCTTGTTGTTGTTGTTGTTGTTCCTGTTTGTTTACAACATGAATTTAAATGTTATATATGTGCTGAAATCTCTAATTTCATTTATTAAAAGTATTAATATGGTATATTTAGATGACAACATGAGGTCTTGATGGATGATGACTCAGTAACCCCTACAGAACCCTACAGACTCCTATAGACCCTTACAATCCCCTGCAAACCCCTATGAGCCCCTACGGATGCCTACGAACACCTACAGACCCCTACGAACCCCTACGAATGTCTAGAGACCCCTACTGACCCCTACAAAATCCTATGAACCCCTACAGACCCCTACACAACCCTACGAACCCCTACAGACCTGTAAAGACTCCTACAGAACCCTAGAGACAGCTAGAGACCCCTACGAACGCCTTGGAACCCCTACAGACCCCTACAAATCCCTACGAACCCCTACAGACCCCTATAGACTCCTACAAACCCCTACAGACCTGTAAAGACTCTACAGAACCCTACGAACACCTAGGAACCCCTACAGACCCCTACAAATCCCTATGAACTCCTACAGACCCCTACGACCCTAACAAATCCCTACGAACCCCTAGAGACCCCTACAAATCCCTATGAACCCCTACAGACCCCTATGAACCCTAACAAATCCTTACAAACCCCTACAGACCCCTATAGACTCCTACAAACCCCTACAGACCCCCACAGACCCAGGGTGGGTGACAGCACCCCAATCCTTTCCCCTGGTTCTGGGGGTGTTCCCCGCTCTCCCTCCCCTATAGACTCCTACAAACCCCTACAGACCTGTAAAGACTCTACAGAACCCTACGAACACCTAGGAACCCCTACAGACCCCTACAAATCCCTATGAACTCCTACAGACCCCTACGACCCTAACAAATCCCTACGAACCCCTAGAGACCCCTACAAATCCCTATGAACCCCTACAGACCCCTATGAACCCTAACAAATCCTTACAAACCCCTACAGACCCCTATAGACTCCTACAAACCCCTACAGACCCCCACAGACCCAGGGTGGGTGACAGCACCCCAATCCTTTCCCCTGGTTCTGGGGGTGTTCCCCGCTCTCCCTCTCCTCCCCTGGGCAAGAGATGCTGTTATCCCCCGGGATATGATGATATGATGATGCTTCAGCCCAAGCCCTGTGGGGCTGGGGGGGTTTGGGGGACACCAGGATCCCATCCCAGCCCCATGGGACCGTCCCTATCTCGTACCCACCAACAGGTTAAACTCCCTGGCAGCCCCCGCGCCAGCGTGACACTGTTTACCATCCGGGGGGGGAGTTATTTATAGGGCAGCCCGGCCTGGGCTCTTGATTCAGCATTTGTGTGTGGGGCAAGGCCCTATTTATAACCCCCCCTAAGCCGGGGCACAGGAGGCAGCTCCCCCAGCCCTCTTGGGGTGCCCCCCATGGCCCAGGAAACCTTCGCCTTCAGCTCCTCCGCCCTGCGCTCGCTGCGGCTCCAGCAGGAGCTGCTGGAGCAGGAGGATCGCCGGCGAGCCCTGGCTCGGGAATCGGCCACACGACGGTTCTTATCGGGGAGTCCCCGACCCCCCCTGACCCCCTCCCGGCGCCCCCAGTACTGCCGGGACCCCGCCGTCCACAACGCCCTCTACACCGGGGACCTCCCGCGCGTCAAGAGCATCTTTAAGGATGAGACCACCGCAAACATGATCATGGAGACGGTCAGCGAGGAGCTGGTGTGGTCGCCCGAGCAGGGTATGGGGCCGGGGGGGCTGCATGGGTGGCCTTTTTCTCCCCCCTTCCTTTTTCTCCCCCCTTCCTTTTTCTCCCCCCTTCCTTTTTC